GTGCTGCAGTGTTCTGAATTAATTGGAGCATTTTAATGGACTTATTGGGGCAGCCTGATAATAAGGAGTTGCAGTAATCCAGCCTTGAAGTAACAAATGCATGGATTAGTTTTTCTGCATCTGTCTGTGACAGGATGTGTCTAATTTTTGTAATATTACGTAAATGAAAGAAGGCAGTCCTAGAGGTCTGCTTTATGTGGCAATTAAATGACAAATCCTGATCAAAGATAACTCCAAGATTCCTGACAGTGGTGCTAGAGGCCAAGTTAATGCCATCTAGAGTAACTATATCTTTAGACAGTGAGTCCTGTAGGTTTTTGGGGCCAAGTAGAAGAATTTCTTGGCACTTGGCGATGGTGGCAAGGAAGAATTTCTTTTTAAGATGCATAAACCTCGGCCGGCCCCCGGCTCTAGGTGGGTGGTTGTCTGTCTCGACCAGTTGGGGTGAGAGAGAGAAAGAGAGAGAGAGAGAGACAGAGACAGAGTTGGAATAACCTTGACTCAATATTAAATCAAAGTGGCAGGGAGATGCATCTCTGTCGGGCCTTAGGCCTGTACATAGTTAATGGTAGGTTCAGAGGGGACTCTTTAGGGAGGTTCACATACTCCTCAGCTCTTGGGTTGTAGACTATGCAGTCACTGACATGGACCCCTCAACTATCAGTGCATTCACTGTCAGACAGCAATCCCCCCTTTCAGACCACAACCAAATGAATGTGTTCTTTAAACTGTCAGGTCAAATTAGTGACACAAAAAGGGAACCCAGTAAGCTGTATAAATTAAATCCTTCTTACAGATGGGCCCCAGACAGTGGAGACAAATTCATCAAGGCTTTAAACTCGAATTGATCTCGATATGAATTACATATCAACATATACTCAAAATCAACATGTCTCTACCAGAGATGGGGTAAACACAGCCATTGAGAATATCAATATGATATTTCATAAGGCAGCTATTAGGGCTGACCTCATAAAGACGGAGACCTGTTAAAAGGCAAGATACTGACAAATGGTTTGATCAAGAATGCAAAACAATCAGAAAAGAGCTGAGAAAAATGAAAAATGAGAAACATTGCCAACCGAACAACCCAGCCCTGCGCATTCGATACAATGAAATTTTAAATACATATAAATACACAATTAGCATAAAAAAATTGAAACTTGAAGATATGGAGAATGCCATTAACCAAAATCAATTCTGGGATATGTGGAACAAGTTCAACACAAAGCAACAGCAGACATTACCCATCCAAAACGGTGAAATCTGGAGATCACATTTTGAAAATCTGTACAGAGACATACCAATCAAATCAATTCAGATCTATTCAATTCAGTGTATTATATAAGAAAAACAAAACAAACAAACAAAAAAAATTAGAAGAAACAATTAAAGACAACCAAAACCCCCTTGATTTCGAAATTACTTGGGAAGAAATAACCACACAGATAAAATGTCTGAAGCCAAGAAAAGCTTGTGGTCCAGACAGCAATAGAAACAAAATGCTCAAAAGCAGCACCCCTGAAATGTAGGGTGCAATGTTACATTTGTTCAATATTATACTAGAGGCAGGATGTTTTCCCAACATCTGGTGCAAAAGGCTCATTTTCCCCATTTATAAGAGTGGGGACAAATCAGACCCTAATAACTACAGTGGCATCTGTGTCAGCAGCTGTCTAGGTAAACTATTCTGTAGTATTCTTAATACAAGAATACTAGATTTTCTTGAGGATCAGTCAATCTTAAGTAAAAGTCAGATTGGCTTCCTCCCAAAACACTGCACCACCGACCATGTATATACCCTTCACACTTTAATCAACAAACATGTACAACAAACTAAGAATGGAAAAATATTCACCTGCTTTATTGATTTCAAGAAAGCTTACGACTCTATTTGGCATGAAGATAGATAAATGTGCTGCTCCGGGCCTCTCCCTCCTAGATAGAGAGGTGAAGTCTCTGTTTTATGCTGATAACCTTGTTCTACTGTCTCCTACTGAACAAGGACTACAGCTACAGCTGGACGTAGTAGAAAGGTACTGTCAGAACTGGGCCCTGGCAGTAAATATGAAGAAAACCAATGTCATGATCTTTCAAAAACGCCCCAGGTGTCATGAGAACAAACACCAATTTACCATCAATAATCATGTCATTGAACACAGCATGAGTTATACCTACCTTGGTATAACCATAACAGCATCAGGGAGTTTCAACATGGCAGTGAATGCACTAAAAGAAAAAGCTTGAAGAGTTCTATATACAATTAAGAGAACATTTTATGATTTCCATATTCCAATAAAAATCTGGCTTAAAATATTTGATAGTGTCATCCAGCCCATTGCGCTGTACGGTAGTGAAGTATGGGGTCCACTCAGTCATCAGAGCTTTACCCGTTGGGACAAACATCCAACAGAATCTCTACATGCAGAATTCTGCAGATATATTTTACATGTACACAGAAACACACCAACAAATGCATGTAGAGCAGAATTAGGCAGATACCCACTGATAATTAACATTCAGAAGAGAACGCTCAACTTTTTTAACCACCTGAAATCCAGCCCCAGAGACACCCTCCACTCCAAAGCCCTCCAAACCCAAGAGCTGAGCCCAGAAAAGAGTCCCCTATGTCAGTTGGTACTGAGGCTAACTGCCCCCTCTCAGACACACTCTGACCAGCCTCACAACAACACTGCTCTACAAACAGTAATCAGAGTAAAGCAAATGATAGCACAATGTAAAGAAAGCTATCTGGACCATTGGGAAGAAACAACTAAAAGCCAGAGTAGATTGGAATGTTATCTTGCCCTTAAAAGAGATTATGAATGAGCAGAATATCTCTCTACTGTCAGAGATAGAAAGCAGAGACAGATCCTAACCAAGTACAGGCTCAGTGACCACAAACTGCCAATCCAAACAGGAAGACACAAAACATCATGGCAACCAAAAGAAAACAGAAAATGTGGTCACTGTTCGACAGGTGAGGTTGAGACAGAGATGCACTTTCTCCTACAATGTACAAAATTAAATGATACGAGAAAAATGTATTTGAACAAGTTCAGCTCTTTGGTTCCAGATTTCAAAGAGCTGAACGACCTCTCCAAATTAAAAATACTCCTCGGAGAAGGAGAGCGGGCACACCTTGCTGCCCAGTATGTATTAACATGCCCCAACCTGAGGGACAGTGAGTGATCGAGACACACATACACACACACACACACACACACACACACACACACACACACACACACACACACTGTATATAACTAATATAATGTTCATAATGTATATATCTTTGATTTATTGTATTGTATTTGAAAACTTTGCTTTTGCAATATTGTTTTTTTTTTTTTTTAAACTTTCATGCCAATAAAGCCCATTTTGAATTTGAATTGAAATTTGAATTGAATTTGAATTTGAATTTGACAGAGAGAGAGAGAGAGAGAGAGAGAGAGAGAGAGAGAGAGAGAGAGAGAACAGAGAGAGACAGAGAGAGAGAGACAGACAGAGACAGAGACAAAGGTGCAAAGCAACAACAATAGCAACAACTACACTAATAATAAAACTAAGGATTTTGTGGGACGACTATTAAATGTTCAATATCAATGCCATATGATAGAACGAGGTCAAGAGTGTGATTAAAACAATGGTTGGGTTTATTAACACTGAAGCCAATTGAGTCTATTAATGATATAAATGCATTACTAAGGCTGTCATTGTTAACATCCACATGAATATTAAAATCACCTACAATAATTACTTTATCTGATTTAATGACTAAACTTGATAAAAACTCTGTAGATTATGGTAGATTATGGTCCAGGAGGTAAACTACAACAAACAGAAATGGCTGCAGTGTTCAATTGTACAACAGAATGCAGAATTGACTTCTCAAGATGAACTGACCGTGGAATCTGTCAGTTCCTTTGGCTTTACAAGATAGTCTGGTAGCTTTTTATGATTATATATGTTCCGCACAATTTACTTCAGGTGTTTGGCCGCTGGTGGATAGACAGTGTTTTGGTGCTGCTGAGTTGACTTATGCAGGCAGTCTCTGTTTTGAACACATCCCGTTAGTTTGAAATGCCATTTACTATGTTTTTTTGTACACACGGCATTCTTCGTTGGCACAAGGACAATACTAAGTGTATGATGCAGTAAATTATCCTCCCAAGGCAACTATAGTGGTGTAGTTAATGTAAGTTAATTTGTAGATTGAAAAAAAAAACTGCTTGGGGGTTTCTTGAAACAACATAGAACACAGAGAGGGACATGGAGAGAATACCACAGCATAGATGTTCTCTCCAGACTTCCAGAATGCTCTCTCTTATATACCTTTCAGTACATCCAAACAAAAAACGTCTGGTATCCTATTCACAGTACTGCTGTAAATCACAAGACATTGTCCTTTGATCTGACCCTGTGATTGTGACCAGATTCTTATCAATCTTGTCATACCCCTACCATTAAATCCCTACCCCTTAACCAAACTGTATACAATTACTAACCCTCCTAAAACATTCATCTACCACACCTCCATGAGCAAGCACTTGGCGACAGCGGCAAGGAAAAACGTCCTTTTAAGAGGCAGAAACCTCAGACAGACCCCCGCTCAAGGTGGGTGGCAATCACATCTGCTGGTTCTGACAAACTGACATGGCAACAAGACATTTTCAATTTAATTCAATTCAGTTTTATTTGTATAGTGCCAATTCATAACCTCCACCAGGATCCATGAGAACCTACGAGACGAGAAAGCACAAGAACTCCGGGGAAGAAGTGAAGAAGAATTGAAGTTAGTAACATGCATTAATTCAATTCAGTTCAATTTTATTTGTATAGCGCCAATTCATAACAGAAGTTATCTCAGGACACTTTTCAAATAGAGCAGGTCTAGACCGAACTCTTTATAACATTATTTACAGAGACCCAACAGTACCACCATGAGCAAGACCTTGGCAACAAGGGCAAGGAAAAACTGCCTGTTAAAAGGCAGAAACCTAGGACAGATCCTCCGGCTCTAGGTGGGTGGTCGTCTGTCTCGACCAGTTGGGGTGAGAGAGAGAGAGAGAGAGAGAGAGAGAGAGAGAGAGAGAGAGAGAGAGAGAGAGAGAGACAGAGAGAGAGGCAAACAGACAGGTGCACAGCAACAACAACAACTACACTAGTAGTAGTGACTGATGATGATGAACATGACAACAGCAACGACGGGGGACAATGAGCTGTGACAACAGCAGCAACAGTAACCGTAGCTATAATAATACTTATAATAATAATAACACTAATATCAGTGATATTAGCAATGGCAGTCAAGCAGGACCATGGCAGGAGGCTCCACCAGGATCCATGAGAACCTGCGAGACGAGAAAGCACAAGAACTCCGGGGAAGAAGTGAAGTTAGTAACATGCATTAATGGGACATGAATGAGTGCAGAAAGAGAGAGGAAGGGAGGAGCTCAGTGCACCATGGGAAATCCCCCGATAGTCTAGGCCTATAGCAGCATAACTAAGGGATGGTTCAGGACTCACCTGATCCAGCCCTAACTATAAGCTTTATCAAAGAGGAATGTCTTAAGCCTACTCTTGAATGTGGTGAGGGTGTCTGCCTCCCGAACCACAACTGGAAGCTGGTTCCACAGGAGAGGAGCTTGGTAACTGAAGGCTCTGGCTCCTGTTCTACTTTTAGAGACTATAGGAACCACAAGTAGCCCAGCATTCAGAGAACGTAGTGTTCTAGTGGGGTCTAAATTTTACAGGGAGCCAGTGCAGAGAAGCTAGTACAGGAGAGATGTGATCTCTTTTTCTAGTTCCTGTCAGTACTCGTGCTGCAGCGTTCTGAATTAATTGGAGCGTTTTAATGGACTTATTGGGGCAACCTGATAAAAAAGAGTTGCAGTAATCCAGCCTTGAAGTAACAAATGCATGGATTAGTTTTTCTGCATCTGTCTGTGATAGGATGTGTCTAACTTTTGTAATATTACGTAATTGAAAGAAGGCAGTCCTAGAGGTCTGCTTTATGTGGGAATTAAATGACAAATCCTGATCAAAGATAACTCCAAGATTCCTGACAGTGGTGCTAGAGGCCACAGGAGAGGAGCTTGGTAACTGACGGCTCTGGCTCCTGTTCCACTTTTAGAGACTATAGGAACCACAAGTAGCCCTGCATTCAGAAAATGCAGTGTTCTAGTGGGGTAATAGGGTACTATGAGCTCTTTAAGATATGAAGGGGCCTGACCATAAAGACCAGGATGAGACCATTTGAAACAGTGGGGCTCATTCATCTGGTTTCCTTTCAAATTCACAGGAAATATCTGGTGGCCACTCGGTCCAAGGACTACATGAACCTTGTGAGTTTGTAACAGCAAGTCCATCACTGAGGAGATAGGCTTGTCATACAGTGCAACTATTTTTCAGGAATGTTTACATATCAGTTCAATCTGCTCTTGCTCTGGTGGTAAATGGTAAATTAGTAAATGGACTGTACGTATATAGCGCCTTTCTAGTTTTTCGACCACTCAATGCGCTGTACACTACCTGCCACACTCACCCGATTCCTAACATTTATACACTAATGGCAGTGGCTGCCATGCAAGGTGCCCACTGCTCACCAGAACGGAAACTAATCATTCATACACACTCATACACCAATGCACAGCAATTTCAGCAAATTGGGTTCAGTGAGGATTTGTAGATGTGGGCAGTCTGTAACCAGTCCAGGGTGTATTTAGCATTACCAGCAAATTCCATGGTGAAAAAACACAGAAAGAATCCAGTCCGTAATATAATGGTTAGGGTCCAGACTCCAGAGAATAATGTCCGGGCCCCAATTGTAACGTGGCTGGTGTAGGTGGAGAGAGTTATCAGCTGTAGCTACTTAGCAGGGTCCCTGGGATAGCTGGTTAGCTCAGAAAGACAACAATGTGGAGATTTTCACACTGCAACATTAATTTACAGTACTTAACGTCGACCATACAATGCCAGGTCTCTACCACTCCACATTCACTAATCATACAGGAGCAGTAGAACATAGACAGCATAATCTGCACCAACTTGTTACTGAGGAGAAGTCTCTGTTGTGGATGTCAGTCTGCGTAGTATCAGCAACAGTACATATAATAGACAGAGCTTCCAGCTCTTAAAGGGGAGGCACTGTGGAAGTGTCTTAAAACCTGCATTCCATTTAAATTCCAGGAGGGGAGCTCCATTGGCTGCAAGACACAGTGATCCCATCCACTCTAATGGAGAATAAGCCGACTTGAGCTCAGTAAACAGAAAAGATGATGAACAGAAAAGGGAACAAACGATGTTAATTATGTGACCAATACTTGAAATACTACACAAAGATAGATTTATTAAGATATGCTGTTTGGTTTTACAGTGTATGTAAAATAACCTTTAAAGCCTGGATGGTAGGCTGAACTTGTGTTTAGGGGGCAGTGGTAGAGTTTACAGCATTTGAAGCATTCTACTGCATGCTTCCCACTAGATGGGTGTGATGAATGGTAATCTACAAATTCTATATTATACTGTGCCACTGGTTGAAAGGTCACCTCCTGTTATTTAAACAAGCCCAGAGAGCATTTTATCAACTTTCATATCAGATAAGGTTTTTTCCTTTTGTTCAGCCGTCTGTATATCCTTATCTGTTTGCGGAGTTTGATGACATCATTGATGACATCATGATGCGTGTCCTAGCTCCGCCTGCCTTAAAGAGAAGGATCTCTTTTCAGACATATAGAGATAACACCTGTGTGCAGGCCCGGCCCTAACCAATTTGGCACCCTAGGCAAGATTTTAGGTGGTGCAGTAAATTTTACTGCCAGTTATATACATACATATACTCACACAAGAAACTGAATAGCTTTGTCTTTGACATTTTCTTTTATTTTTAGAGAAACAAGTTGCTCAATCCAAACAGTTAACTAAAAAATAATAAATTAGACATAAATAATCCAAGAAAAGACAGGACAGGAGGATCACTTGATGCTGTTGAAGCAGTGATGACTGTAGATGGCCCAGGATTTGCAGGAGGGGGATTTAGATATTTCAACAGCGCATCTGAAGAGAGAAGAGGAGTAAGAGACACCGTTGGGTGTTACAGTCTAATAATAAAATAAATGATTCCAAGAATAAAATGAAATAATAAAAATGAAAAACCTAAGAGATGCATTACTTTCACTGTACTGTACATGAATGATATACAATGCAATTTCTTCTGATATGCAAATTAGATTAGATTTACTTGTCATTACAGTAAATGCTGATGAGCAGAATGTAAAGAAGCAGTAAACTGCAGTATAATATAACATATGGGAATGTATTAACATTAATGATGTGCACTTTAACATGGATGTAAAATATAACACTATAAACACACTTTAGACAATACTGAACTGTAACACAACAAACAACAAGACTTCCAACTCTAATATATAAAGGTGTGTGAAAGGAATAGCATTTGACTGTTACAAGCAGAGCAACGATAGCTAACCAATAATAAATACAAATAAAAATGTAGACAAATGTAAACAGCTGCTGAATAGATCTACTCTTTAGTATATATAGAATATATATATATATATTATTGGCCCCTCCATAACATGAACTGATGTTAAAACGAGCTAACGCTATTTATCGATTAGCACACCGTGTTAGGTTAAAGGTTACTATTTCATCCCATTATCTTCACTCTACCTCTGTCTTTGTTGCGTTTTTCCTCCTCTTCTTTTCTTTTTTCCTTCCCTGGGCACCAGAAAGTTTTGGGCGTTTTGACATTGTTAATGGTTTCTGGGGTGACGTCAGAAAACTCCACCATCTCTCAGAGAGCAGGTAGAGTCTAATGAGTCAGAGGAGGAGGGGGGCAGGGGGGCTTAATAAAGGGTTATTATTGTTTAATAGGCTTTGCTATGCAGTTCAATTATTGTGGGCTTATTTTTTTCATACTAAGAAATAATAGCACCAACTAGTTTTAGTATAAAAATATTAAAAGTTGCACCTTTTTTTTCTTTTTCTTCCCCCGTTGTGGCGCCCTCTACATGGACGGCGCTCTTAGCATTTGCCTGTACTGCCTCTGGCACGGCACTGTGTGTGAGCGCCGGTACTCTCCGTGAGCCGCTCAGTCTGTCCACCGCAGGAAACACAGGAGGGAGACTGCAGCTCGGGGCTCAGTCCTGACCAGGTAAAATCAGCTTTGATGGAAATAACTCACACAGCTAAATCCTTTTTTCCAATCTCATTATTTAAGGTTTTATTGAGACTTTATCAGTTGAATATCTGTGTTTGGTAGCCGTGCAATATTAAAGCTTTAATTTAAAAGGACATGACGGTCCAATTCCACATTTACAGGTAAATCGGGAGGATGAGGCACACAACGTCTAATTTAATCTTCACCACTGGGCTGATGATGGGATTTTTCTCCCTCCGCTTTATGTTGGACTTGAACTTTTCAGCAGAACAACTCCTGTATGTTGGGAGGGATGGGAGGTATCAAGTCCAACAGGATTCACAGCATGTGCACACAGGTAGGCATCGATTTAGTTCATATTTAGTTCGATTCTGTTTAGTTTCATTTTCTTTTTCTCAAGAAAGTAAAAACATTAAACATTTAAAAACAATTCTACATGTTGAATTGCCAGAGAAAAATCTCCATGTTGTGTTTAAATGGCTAAAATGCTCATATTTTATCTGTTGGTCAAATGTGGACATTTTTCTTGGATGCCATTGAGTCAGGGTGAATTAGGCTACTAAAATATATTGCTGTTTTTCTTAACCACAAAGGCCACTAGATTAACCACGATATATATATATCTATATATATACACACACTCACACACAGTGCACTGTAGTTTTCATTACATTAGCCTATCGGTCTGTCATTGTATCCCAAATAACACACTTTGAATCATCTGAGTTAGGATGTGAAGTTGTTATTCTCCTGGTGGATGTTTTTTCACTGTGGGAACAAACCACGTCCAGATGCATTCAATGTTTTGTGGATTGAAACAATGCAGAGGCGTTCTTCTTCGCTTGTAGAAAGCTGCGTGTACTATCTTCTTCATTTGTCATTGCGGAGCACGCACGAGCCTTATTTCCACTCCCACAGTCAGTCTTATATGTCACACTCTCGTTTCCATCTGATCATGTGACGCATTTCCAAGGCACATTCTTCTGGTTTCCTGTAGTTCCTTTGGGCTGTAATGAATTTCTTTTCTGTTCGAAACTTAAAAATATTGACTTGGCATCTCAAAATGATGACAAACTTCATAAAATATTTTGGCTTGGTATCTAACAAATAAGTAAACACTCTCAAAATTTTAAATTGGTTAAAATAATGACTTATTATTTTGGGATACAAAAATCAAAATATTGACAGCTACAGCTATTTTTTACACCTTAGATGATTAAACGGACAACTCCTGATGGTGGTATTATTTAAAAAAACAAAAGATTCCATTCAGTCGCTCTGTAAATTGTTAAATTACTTACGGAAACTATTTAGACTTCAGTTACAGTTTCTAGAGGTGAAACCGTTCTAATGTTGGATCATTGAATAATCATTTTCTGAAAAAACATCTTGCATTTCTTTTCCTTCCATTTTTTAATACAATGGTATGTTACTGACTCTGTTAAGTCTTCACAATCAAACAAACAGTTTTGCCTAGCTATGCCAGCACCCCCCATGCCTAAACCAAAACAACCAGCGTTTGCCAAGAAAGATATAAAGACTGCTTTGTTTGGAAGATTGAAGAAGAGGAAGTTTATTGTTGAGTCATAGTCCCACCGTCCCAAAGATTCTGTGTTTGACGCCCTGGGACTGAAACTCAACTATCTTTCTCAGCTCTGATTGGTTGTTTTCATTCAGGCCCGGTGGATTCTTGCAAATGCCATTAGGAGCACTAGGAGGAGCCAGAGGAACTTGGTGTGCAATGCATCAAACTCAGAGCAAACTTTTAAACTAGGCAAATATAAAAAATATGAATCAAGATTCTGTTACTGCGTTTCTTGTTTCTCGCTTAAAATGGTTTCACAAATGTGGTTTCCTGCTACAGATGAGTCAAAACTGTGCAGCCAATGTGAGCAGCTCCCCTCTGGTGGCTCTGACTAGTCATGGCAATAACCATAATGCCAAACTCGTGGCTCTAAAACGGTGCTCTGCAAACCAATAGGTGACATCATGACAGGTTGACATTTTGTTCTAGCTGAGAAACAGTGTTATGTGTGCGATCTTGGTGCAAGGAGTTTCCTTTTTGTCAGCTTGTAACGTTCAGCTCTCTTTCACTTAACTCGGCACCTATAAACTAGCTAACATTACTCAACAGTCCAAGGGACAGTTGTTGCCTTTGGTGAAACCTTTAAGTCTTAAAACTTACAGGCTCATGTCTAAAATTCTGATACTTTGGTTTGTACATTCCTCCAGGTGAGAACAAGAGCTCAGCAGCCAATTCCTCCCATACAACACGGATCTTGTGCTGGATCATGACAGGGCCCAAGAACTTGGAATCCCGAACCAATCACATCAGGGAAACATGGGCCAAGCGCTGTGACAAAGTGCTTTACATGAGCTCTGTCAAGACTGACTTTCCCACTGTGGATCTGAACGTGTCAGAGGGCAGGGACAACCTGTACTGGAAGACCATCCGAGCCTTCCAGTACATCCACCAGCACCACCTTGATGAAGCCGACTGGTTCCTGAAAGCAGACGATGACACTTTTGTGGTTGTGGAGAATCTGCGCTACACCTTGTCCAAATATGATCCAGAGAAACCGTTGTACCTGGGCAGAAGGTTTACCCCCTTCATCAGTCAAGGCTACATGAGTGGAGGAGCAGGTTATGTCCTTAGTAAGGAAGCACTGAGAAGATTTGTTAAAGGATTCAACACTGGGGAATGTACCCACTTTTCCACTATAGAAGACATGGCTCTGGGGAAATGTATGGAGACGATGAAGGTGGAGCCAGCAGACTCCAGAGACGTAAAGGGGAGACAAACATTTCATGCTTATCCTCCGGACTATTATTTGATCAGACAGCCTCCAAGACCACGACCTTGGTATCTGCTTTACGATCACTATACTCCAATAGAGGTATGCAACACAATATACTAATTTCTGTTGAGAATTTGGAATTAACCTGGTCTTAGCCAATCTCATGAAAAGAGCTCGGGGTGTCAAGATGTACTGAAGTTAGAAGCATCTAACCCTACATGGGAATTAATTCATTCCACATGGATGTATCCTATTATGTCTGTGCAGAGTTTGTTTTATAGACCTGCAATAGATCTATGGTTGCTCTTTTTCTTACCGCGTTATCGCGTGTGTGTTAGTCATTCACTTCAACAGTCATAAAATGAGACAAAACGAAATATGCACAACCAACATGAAAGTTTCTACTGTAAACCAGAATGGACAAACAGAGTACTTCTAGATACTATCTAGTACTTTTTTAAATAAGTGAGTTTATTACAGTGAAAACTGATTAAATTGGAAGTCTAGAAAAGCAGAGTGGGGGGAGATTTGTTGGTGTGCAGTGCACAGATGTTCAAGGTAATCATACAAAATTAAAACCTGCTGAGTCTTCACTGGCTTCCTGCTGTTTAGACACAGTCTGAACTGCAGCCATACTAACTCTCTCTCTCTCTCTCTCTCTCTCTCTCTCTCTCTCTCTCTCTGTCTCTGTCCAGGGTCCAGATTGCTGCTCAGATTTTGTTGTGTCCTTTCACTACATTTACGCTGTCCAGCTGTACGTTTTGGAGTATCTGACATACCATCTGCGGCCATATGGATACAAATACAGATTTAATCCTGAAGACAAAACTGACTTTAATGCCACAACTAAGTCTATGTAAAATGTCGGTGTCTGCACTAACTGGAGAAGGGGTTGAGGGTAGTGGCAGGTTTCAGAGCCAAGCTTAACTTATAATGTATTTAATTCTCTCTTACCATACATTTATATCACAAGGATTCTCAAGTTATTCTTGCAACAGTCTGATTTCAACTGTGAAAACTGTTTATGATGTTTAGGGTGTGAGTGGGTCTGTATTAAGCTGTCACTGTGTGTAACCACAAATGAAGATTCAGATTTTAAGGTGGTGTGTTCCTTTAACCCGTGTTCCTAATTTCATCTTTTATGAAGGTGCAACTTACATACTGTGCTTCTTTCTCTGGGAAAACATTGATGTACATTGTATATTAAAATTGCTGAAAAAGTTTGTTCTGACAGTAGTACATGAGACAGTTGAACAAAAACAACCAGAGTCCGGAAACATATGAAAACCCTTTGGGTTGGTAGCTTGATGTGTCAAATTTGGGACCCTGGTAATGAGACTCATCAATCAACTATCTTTCTTGGCTCTGATTGGTTGTTTTTCACAGATTCTGTTTCATGTACCGCTGTCAGAACAGGGAAAATTTGAGCAATTATTTTTAAAAGAGTTACCTACTGCTACAGCTTTAATTAGCATCATTATTTCACGTCACAGCAGCTGAATAAGGCAGAAGCCATTCGTTCCAATACGAGCAGAACTTGGGACAGTTTTGGTCCACACACTTATTCACTGCTAAGAGTTACATGAAAAGATTGATATAACTTCCAAGCTTGTACAATAAATATGAAGCTACTGCTGGCACCTGGTTAGCTTAGCTTAGCATAAAGACTGGAAACATGGAACCAGCTAGTCTGGCTCTTTCCCAAAAGTCCCAAAATGTACCTACAACCTCCTGTAAAGCTCACTTACATGTAACGCTTAGTAAGTAAGGAAGTAAGTTCACGTCTTACTGGGTTTTGTGTATGGGATTATTTTTTTGTCTAAGACCAGTAGATGGATTGTACTTATATATATAGCACCTTTCTAGTCTTTCCACCACTCAATGCGCTGTACACTACATGCCACACTCAACCATCCACACTCATTCATATACTGATGGCAGTGGCTGTCATGCAAGGTGCCAGCTGCTCAACGAAAAGGAAACTAATCATTCATACACACTCATTGCAATTTGGGGTTCAGTATCTTGCTCAAGGATACTTCAGTTAGTGGACTACCCGCTCTACCTCTGAGCCACAGCTGCCCCCACAACTTCCTGAAGTGTGTAATCAAGCATGCATTAACATTGCACACTCGTCTTTCCTGTTCTTCAGTTTCTGTAGAGATCAAAAAAGATGTAACGAGCTTCAGGTGTGGTGTTAGGTCAAAATGTTCAAAGCAGAATATAATTACACTGAATATATAAGTAGAAGCCATTTGTTGCAGTACCAGTGTTTCCAGTCTCATCAGTCTTATGCTAAACTAAACTAACCAGGTGCTAGCTGTAGCAGATCAACCTACCAATCTAACACATGGCAAGAAACTGAATAAGTGTATTTCCCAAAATGTCAGACCAAAATGTACCTCTCTACTGTCACTAAATTGTCACTTAAACTCTCTATTCATTTTTTTCAGACTTTCTATACAGCCAGAGGCTTTAGCATGTAGCAGCAGTGTACTCTATGTCCAATGTCATATGTATGTGTGATGCACTGTCGACAAAGGTAATTGAAATGGACAATCTTTAAGAAATTATATTTTATTTATTGAAAAAGTTTTGTTTAACTACCATGGTCTACGTTTACTATTCCTTCTGCCACTTTTACACTGTTAAACAATTAAACAATATATTTTACAGTCAAGTGTGTTTCCATATAACATTCATCATAATGGAGGTTAATAGATTCTGTTAAGATGGACTAAAACAACTAGGAAATGAATGGTGAAGTAGCTACAACACAATGTGAAAATACAATAAGCAGTTAAGAATACATAGTGTGTTGAGTTATCAAGATGCCCTTAAAGGGGCTGCTGAAGAAACACCTATGAAACAGTGACCCACAAAACAATATATATAAAACAATATGTATAAGACAAATCCTAGAATTTAATACCCTAAAATGAAACAGAAAATATTTTATACACGGTTGGGTAACAGCGAATACAGTAGGCTATATTCACAATGCAGATGCTCTTCTCATATAGTAGTATTGTCATACTTCATACTGTAATGTATAATTGAACAAACAAGATTTAGACATAACTGTAAATAATTCAGAAATTGGTTGCCAGATATACATATACATATATATATACTGTTTTCTGTCCTGCAACAAGCTGCATGGAGTAGATAGAACTTGCTGATTATAATTAAGAGTTTGAAGGTCCTTTTGTACATCTATGATACATGCTGTACTGACATGTGAAACCTCATTGTCTCGTTTTCTTTAGATGACTCTAAAGAATTTTGTTGCTGTTGTTGTAAAGTGACATTCAATCTGGCTCACACTGGGCGTGACAACCACAACAGCACTCTGACTGAGCCGCACTTTCAGAGACATTGTTTAACCCCCAAACGTATGTGAATGGGTTTCCGTAGACTCAATAAATCAAATAAAATTTGCTGTTTAGATTTAAAAGGACTAGTTAGACACTTTGGGAAATACATTTGACAGCTTTCTGAAGGGGAGTTACATGTTCAGACTGCTACCACTCTCTTGTGTGTAAAACATGAATCTACAGCCAGAAGCAGCACAATATGACCCAAAAAAAGTCATATTGCGATTGTTTGACTGCAATTGTGATATGATTCAAAATATTTAACTGGTTATGAGGTATCAATTGAATACTAATGCCTCTTTATGACTTACATAAAGAGAAGATTGGCTATTTCATTATAGTTATTCTTAATGTCTGCCCAAGGGTGATGGAGACACACTTTTTGTTTGTTTGTTTTCGTTCAGGCCCGGTGGATTCTTGGCATTAGGAGCACTAGGAGGAACCAGAGGAACCTGATTTTTTTTATCAGATTATGACTCATGTACTACTGTCAGGACACAGTGAACATTTCAGAAATAATGACAAAAAGTTATTTTTTTTATAAAAGTTACCTACTGCAGCTTTAATATGCAACATAGTTTTATACAATATATGTAGTGCTCTGTCTCTCCCTGTCCCATATTTCACCCAGTCTCTCTAGCTAAGGGGTCTGTGGCCTGAAAAATGTTGAACAAGCTGTGAATGCAATGATATTCAAAAAGGTCTATTTAATAATTCCCACACTTATTTATAATTTTATATATATATATATATATATTAGATATTATATATATAATCTGGATATTCCTTATTTTTCTACAGCTATTCAATTCAAGTTGTGTGATTATGTTGTGCCCTTTTACTTGTGGTTGGTCTCATGTCATGGTATAATAAGTACTCATGCCTTTCACATAAACATGCTCAGAGCTGGTTAGAAAAACTGATCCGGCCTAAGGGGTAACAGCTCAGTGAAGACAGATAACCCAAACAGACTTTGTGATACAAGCTTGTACATGCATGCTTTAGGAATTAAATGTTGAACCTGTCTTTTTAATGCTCTTGTCAGCTTGTATTTGAGTTGTATACATTTTAGAACAGATATAATTGTCCAAAATTATCGGAGAGCTAGTACATGTGCAGGAGCACCTGCAGTGTGAATGTAGCCCGAGAGACAGTGAGGAGGTCCAAGTCTGCTCCACATCATCTTCTTCACCTGCAGCGGTGCAGAGAGTATTACCGCAGCAGCGGCTGCTGGCCTGAGCGCTGGTCAAACAGTAAAGCCTGCGTCATCAGTCCATTTTGTTCCTCAGTGACGCTGATGGAGAGAAGCGTTGCACACACCCTTTTTCCAAATACAGTCTGTTACGTGTAGACACAGGAGTTCCTACAGTTGGCTTCTGTTTCAAAGTTGTTTGCGTTGCCCTGACAGCCTCCGTACCAGAACTGGGCACAGGCGTTGGCCTCTGGGTCGTAGTACCACCTGACTACATACTGTCGACAGGGACCCGGGTCCAGAGGCTGACTGCAACCCTTATCTGAAAGGACAAGAAGGGTACAATGATTGAATTATTTGGCACATTTCAACATGTGGCAGGATATTTGTCGAACCTGCTACATAGTGACACATAGTCACTGAGATAAAAACTAATTGTAACGCTTAGCTCCTTTCAATCTGTTCAAAGTTGGGAGAAGTATTCAGATAATCTAAAAGTAAAAGTAGAAATACTATAATTTAAAAAAAGTAAAAGTCATGCATTTAAAAAATGTACTTAAGTACATGTGTATTTTCATACAAAGTAAAAGTAGTACTTAGGCAGGAAAATGCCCCACTGAGGTTATATTACTATGTATTATATTATTGGATCATTATTACTGATGCAGTAATGAGTAAGCTGCTTTTACTTGATTGAGATGAAGCTCATATAACTACTAATAAAAACACATACATTTAATGGTAATTAAATTTATATTAATCTGCATCTGTGAAAAACTGTAATAAATGTAGTGGAGTAGAAAGAGAAAGAAGCATATAATGGTAATACTCAAGTAAAGAACAAGTATCTACAAACTACTAAGCCACAGCCGTCCACCAGAGAAAACATGGGGGTTCAACAAGGCTGCCTCCATGAGAGGTGTCTGTGTATAAAAACGGCTGATTCTAAGGTAAACACAATTCTTATTTTCAGTCATAATAAATTATAAATATTATATTCCATTTCTGACAATAGATCATCCTTACACACTCCACCATATAATCTGTTCTTATCATTTACAATTAACAAAAAAAAAACTTATATGGACAATATGGTCTCCTCAAAACGTAAGTCCTGCCCCTTTTTGCTCTGTGCTCCAATGACAGTTTGGTCAAGCAAGGCTTGGTCAGAACCTCGGTCAACTTTCTCCTTTCCTGTACCTAGATATGCTATGTGCTAGGCTAATCTATGTTGAAAAGACAACCACATTCTGAAAATGGTAAAAGATAAAAGTACATATATAGTAACATCTAAGCTTAGCTAATGTTAACAAAACGCTAGCTATGTAGCTAGCTAATCTACTCTATTTCTTATAAGCTAGCATTTTGCTAACATAAGCTATCAGATGTAATTAGCTAGCTAATGATCAATGTAGATTAACGTTAAGTTACTAGTTAGCTAGCATTTTGTGAACATTAGCTCCATTGTCTCAGACTTTTTCAACAGTTCTAAACTAGAAGGATCCCCTAACTGAAAAGCACCAGAGGGACACCCCTTTTTTTGTTTAGTTAACACTAGCTAACTTAAGATGTAACGCTAACTGTACATATGTCGCTTTTATCTTTTAACCATCTTGAAAATGTTGTTGTCTTTTCAACCTAGACTAGCCTAGCACATAGCATACATGCAGGAAAAGAAAAGGATGAGATATAATCAAATCTTATGTTAGCAACATGTTAGCTAAGCTACATTAATAGTTAGTTACATTTGAAAGATAATGTTAGCTAAATGCTAGCTAATTAGCTAGCTGACAGTCAATGTGGATTAGCTAGCTAGTTAGTTAGCTTTTAGCATTGTTAACATTAGCTAACATTAACTAAGCTAAGATATGACTATGTGTTACTTCTCTTTTAACCATCTTCAAAATCTGGTTGTCTTTTAAACATAGATGAGCCTAGCATGTAGCATTTTCCAGGGTGGCAAAATCATGTCTGATCATGGTAAGCCAATCAGAAGCAGAGTAGGGTGGCTTATGACTTTGCCATCCTGGGAAAAAAATATTACGAACAGGAAAGGAGAAAGTTGACAGAGGTTCCAAAAGGGGTGGGATTTAGGAAGCGTTATTATCTTGACATGTCTGTTTAAGCTGTGTGGAGTGTTGTGGAGACCCAAAGGTCCATGTCTCCAAGACAATATAATGTTCAAAATGTATGTTTGGTTTCTGTTTTATTTATTAGTTCATTATTGCTCATTTATACTTTGCAGTCACGTGATTACCATGGTTACCTGGCGGGCAAGAAACATATATAAATTGGGAGCGTACCTATGTTCCCCGGGTCCTATGTTCCCCGCTTTGTATGGGACCGGGGAACCCTAACCCTAACCCTAACCTTAGCGGGGAACATAGGAGCCGGGGAACAAAGGGATGACCCCTATATATTTACATATCTCCGTCACCTTACACCGCACTAACAACGCTGTGGTATGGGAGGTGAAGAACAGGAATATCTTCATAATCAAAGAAAAGGTGAGTGTTACTAGTTAGCTAGCTAATGATACCCGCTAACGTTGCATGTTTGTAGCTATACACAAAGTGACATCTGCTCCGTCGTGTGATGAAGTCTTCATCTGAATATGTACACCCTGCCTGCCGCCAATGACAGCTTGATAAGTAACGTTGGTTTAAAAAAACCTTATGCCAACTAGACTGTATCATATATGGCTAACAGGATGTCAAACATTGTAGCCTACCTGCTCATCCACTCCACATAGCATCAGACAACAGACAAGAGCAGCTGGGGCAGTGAAATGTCTTTAATCCTGTTAGCAATCTGTTAGGTTGTAACGTTAATGTAGTAGTAATAACTGTACCATAGTATGTATGCAAAGTAACTGTAAGTAAGTAGACACAGTACAACAGTAACGTGTGTACTGTAACATGTATTCTTCTTCTCATCATATCATATCAAATCACGTACATGATATATATATATATATATATATATATATATATATATATATATATACTTTTGTATAGTAAAACTGGTGACGTCCTGGCAAGATCCTTTATTAGTTTACTGGGTTTCATTGAACGATGTTCTTGCCCGCCAGCTAGCAGTAGTTGTGACGTCACATGCAAAGTATGATTGTCATGACTAATAAAAGGAAATTATTTGAGAAAGGGAGGCGGCAAGATTTCCTAAGCAAAGCAAACACAACAGTGATAAGTAATGTGTTACACAATATTTCCCATCAACTTCTTGTAGTACAGGAAGGCAACAAACTTATTACGAAAAGCAAGTATCAAAGGTGTGGCTGTGTGTTCACCTGCCACTGATGACTTTGTCAGGGGTGGAGGAGGAGGGCTGACTGGAGCCTGTGTGCTCTCTGCTTCATACAGCCAACCAGTTGGTGTCCGAGGACCCACCACGGAGGTCACCCCAGGACCCTGTTTTCCCCTTCCCCCAGGAGAGGCAAATATGTCTGACAGCTTGTCCCAGGGCTTCACCAGCAGTTTAGTATCAACCAGGTTCTCCTCAGCCCCACTCAGCTCACCAGGTTGAGGAGTTGAGGCTGTTACCATCTCCACTGGGAGTTCAAGCTGGGAAATAGAGGAGCACCTCAGATTAGACACACTTAAAGTTCAAGCTGTTTAATATTTCTCACTGTCTTTCCTGCCTTCCATGCTTCCACTGGTGCATAGCCTTGTTAAAGCTGCAGTAGTTACATTTTATACAAATATTTTTTGTCATATTTGCTTAAACTTTCACTATAACCTGACAGTATTACACGAGACAGATAATCTGTGAAAAAAGCTGGCTACACCTAGTGCTCCTAGGCCAGGTGGATACACCTAGAACAAGCCAGAGGAACCAGTGTTTTTTTCACCGATTATCTATTTCATGTACTATTCTCATAATATAGTGAAACACAGTGAAAATCTCAGCAATAAATTACACAAAAAGTTACCTACTGCAGCTTTAAAATATCAAGTCTAGTCAATCTATCATCTATTTATCTTTGTCTATCTGTCTGTCTGTAAGGTTTAGGGACAGTAATGGTGTGAGGTAAATAATGTCAAGATGCTAACATGTTCAGTGACAATGTTAACATGTTGTTTAGTGTCCCTGATGGCACTGTCATTAGTATTGCAGGTATTTGGTCACAAACCAAAGTGTCACTAAAGGAAAAGTCAGGGGATCACCAAGTGAGTTGGCTTGGCAGCCATTAATGTCTTGCAAAATTGTATCCATTTAACTGTTGTTAGATAGATAGCAGACTGACTATCTGCCACTAGCATGACTGAAATGACAACAAACACCATTGTCACTAATTATTTAATTCCAAAATTTAACAGTTGTTATGAAACTCATAGAGCCAATATTGGCCTGCAGGCTGAGGGCAGCAGCAAGCATAGCAAAGAATAGCTCCATTGTGTTACTCTTACGCATCATATCAGTCTCATTATTTGCTGATAATGAGTCCCCATGTAGTTGAGTATTTTAATATTTTTAATATTTACATATTCATGACATTAAGTCTGAGGTTAACAGTGTCTGTCCATATTTTTTCTAAATGAGATAAAAGCAGAATTACTGGTATGTTGTCCTCATCTGGGAACTCCCTAGGAAGGCTGTCCTCTGGAGTGCGGATTTCCACAGGTGGAAAGACAGAGTTTGGCAGAAATGCCATTGTGTCATCCTGCTCACAAATGTGACTCAGTATTTTGCCTTCCAAAGCTGAACCGAAACAAAGAAAGAGGTAACATAGTTAGAATATTTGTCTTTACAGATTGTACTCATTACATGAGATCATAATAGGTGGCTAGATATGTAATTAACTAAAGCAGTAATGATGTTTTACAGTGTTTGACTGTCTGACTAATCCGTGTGCAGTGACACTGTTCACATGCCATGTTTAAAGCAATTTATGCCACCTTAAATGTCAAACTGCTTGGTTGAACTACTTGTGTAACAACTTTGATTCTCAAGTGACCTAATGAGGAAACATCAAGCTCAGCATAGCTGGAAGTAGGGGGTGATGATAATAACTTCCCTCCTACTCAGAGCCTATAGGTGAATGCCGGGGTGGAGGGGCTTTGAGATGACATATGAACAGCAGCAGCAATAGTAGCACAGATTCCAGACATGTGCATGATGTTTGTGTTCCAGTTTTAAATCTGAGAAGGGGTGCAAGTTTGGAGCAAATCACCTCAAGAAGGTTAACAGAAAGGAAACCAGTGCTGTATTGATAAATTCTTTGATAAAGGTGTCAGCATGCCAATGTGGCTATAATCAACAGTGTAGCTGCTGTTTATCTGAAGTGTGAGACGACATGCATGCTTACTGGGAAGCGTCCTGAAGTCATCTATGAGGTAGACGTGCTCTTCATCAGGATCAGAGGCAATGACGTTCATCTCAGCCTGGAACTCTTCATAGAGAGGGTCAGTCTTGTTCACAACTCCAATAGCAAACATCTCGATCCCTTCTGCGTGGGCCTCTGTTGCCGTTTCTTCAAACTGCATGGCGTCACGGGGGTCAGATTGCCCATCTGTTAAAACAACAGCAACTCTCCTCACGCCAGGCCGGGAAGCCTGGAACAGCTCATTGGCGCGATGGATGGCGCTGCCCGTGAAGGTGCCCTCACCCAGGTAAGGCATCTTTCTGACAGCTGCCTTGATATCCTCCTGGCTGGACTGCTGCTGCAGACTGACCACCACTATGTCCACATGGCTGTAGAGCACCACACCGATACGACTGGCTTCTCGGCCCACCGATACCCGGTCGATGAGAGCATTCACAAAGTCCTTCACCAACTCAAAGTTTTCTGGTCCCACACTCTCAGAGCTGTCTATTACAAACACCAGCTCCAGAGGGCTCTCTCTGCACTTGAGACCACAGCCTGGGACACAAAAGTAAGTCATAAATTAGAATGGTAAAAAAAAAAAGCAAAACTGCAGGGTACATTACTGATGACTGAGGATTAAACTACTGCAAAACATGATTAAATAATAATTTACCGCAGATTTCCCTTATAATCCTGATGACTTCTTCTCTCTGTGAACAGAAAAAAAGAGGACAAAATAACTAAGTTGATGTTCAGATGTAAAGCTCAGTGTCATTTGTGCCAGTCATTTTACTCACTGTCAGCCCTGGTCCTCCCTTTTCTCCAGGCCTCCCCTATAAGATTTAAATCAGATTATGAGGTTGAATGATAACATAGTGTCGAGCTAATCTATGTATGACAAGTAACTGGTGACCTTTGGCACTATGAGTCTAGAAAGTGAGAAATGTTCAAATCCTACAAATAGGGACTTTACGAACACTGTAATAATTTTTGGACTATTTGATCCTAATGATGTTAAATTCAAACATGTGTCAGCCTGAAAATTGCTATTTGGAGCCTGTATTATTTTAAATGGAAATGAATACCAAATATTCAATCTGAACCTTCTTCTATAGATTTCACTGACATGAAATGAGAAAGATATCAGTGCCTAAAAGAAGAAAAGGAAATTGTATTAACTATGTTACCATCGCTCCAGTAGATCCAGGTTCTCCATAGTCTCCCTTGTCTCCTTTCTTTCCCCGGTCTCCAGGAATGCCTCTATCACCCTGTGTGGGAAAGTGCTCGTTATTACAGAAAATGTGGAGAACTCATCAAAGGCAATGGGTCACAGGTTATGCAAACATTGGAACGTGGAGCAGTTCTATTGTTTTATACCTTCTCCCCTGGAAGGCCGTCCCCTGTTGCCCCCCGAGGTCCCATTGGCCCCTGAAACCCAGGTTCTCCCTAAGAATAAAGATTGATGAATTGGTAAGTGTAAAAAGGGTGTCATCAGCATAAAGACTTAAATTAAAGTCCTGTCCATGGAGTTAAACACCGCAAATTGACTGATACGACCAGCAACACAGGCTTACAAGAAGACAAAACAGTCAGCTCCATTATTGCTGGGTTCTGAATCCTCAAAAAACGGTTCCAAACACAACACCACATGATACAGCTGGATAAATTTGTGATCCAATTGTCTTGACTGACCTCATAGCAGCCTTTTGCTTACCTTTGGTCCTTGGATGCCCTCTCCTGGAGGTCCTGGCAGGCCTGGTGAACCAGGCTGCCCAGAAGAGCCCTGGGAATACAATTAATACCACAATTGTCAAGTTATAAAGCTAATATCATTATGACGCACAGAGAAAATGGTTTATAAGAACAAAAGAATCTGTTTAACTCCCTTTGTCCTGACCTTTGGTCCATAAAGTCCAATTCCAGGAGGACCTGATGGCCCTGGCACCCCCGGTAAGCCTCTGTCACCCTAATACACAAAAGGACAAAAAATGTTCTCACTCTGGTGTGTTAAATGGAACTACAATCCCCACAAGCCTCAGTGAATGTCACTCACAGGTCTTTCCCTTACTTCATGAATTTATTAAGTAACACTTGTACCTTAGATCCAGGTAGTCCCTTCCCTTCAGGTCCTATCTCTCCTTGAACTCCTGGTAAGCCAGGCAGCCCCTAATGATGAAAAAAAAAAGATGTTCATTTACAGAATATAAGGATAATTCATTTGTACCCCGCATTTTTGATGACATTTTCCTCTCACCTGTGGTCCTGGCAAGCCATCTCCCTTCATTCCTGGTGGCCCCACGGGTCCAGGATTTCCTTTGTTACCCTGAAGTAGGAACAGATGAACAGTCAAAATACTGAGAGGAACAATAATAAAATAAAATGAGACTGAGGTGACAGACACATGTAGTAAGTGGCCGTGGACTAAAAGTCTTCAGGGCTGCACGAGCAAGGATTGAACCCAAAGTGCAAGGTACAAGGTTGATTTATGGGAGTTTATTTATGAAATGCAAGTTGCTACTCACAAAACAAAAATTATATATAGGATGAAGAAATACGTCATGAATTATTATTCACGGAGGATGAATTAAGGAATCCCTGTGCCTGAGGAAAGAAGCTGTATGTCTGGTGGAACAGCAGCAGATACTTTTGTATTGCTTGCCATATTGATTAAAGGCTATAAAACCCAAAAATGCCATCTCTCATAAGATCATGAGAGCGAATACCTTCTGTCCAACTATCGTATTGTATAGTCTTGATGTTGTGTTTATCCCATGGGGTGACATGCAGTTGCACTATGCTGTTTTGGGATTATGTTTTTGAATGAATTTGAACAAACTGCATGTTCTTTCAAATTTGTTCAAACTTGATTTTTGTAAAAAGTGACAGCCCTAATCTTCATATCTGGCGATATGGTATGCAACTAACATTCTCAGAAAGAGCAACAGTCAATGAGCAAACTCCAAAACTCGACCGACCAACGGTGTCATTTCACTCACTCACTCACTCACTCACTCGTTTATAGTGTTGGCTGCCGCTTATTCTGTGTTCATGTTACCTTCAGCCCAATGATTCCTACTCCAGGTTCTCCAACAAGTCCAGCTGGTCCTACAGGGCCAGGATCTCCCTTTAAGTGAATAACAAAACTGTTAATCTCTACATTAGAAGCTGTACAGCACAATTAGTTGACAACTATTAAATTAATTGGCAACTATTTTGATAATTGATTCATCATTTTGATTGATTCTTTAAGAAAAAATGTCCAAATGATTCATTACTTTTTCTGAAACATTGTCTTGCATGTAGCTCTTATTTAAAGCAGTGTGCAGCAGTGGTGGACAGTACAATTACTCAACAACTGTATTTATCCCAGATAAGCGGATGAAGATGAGATGAGATGAGAGATGAACTGTATTTAAATACAATAGACTTTTTTCTCAGCAGCCAATTTGACATGGAATAGTAGGGTAAACACAGGTGTTATCAATGACACTAATTAAAGTTGCAGTATCATAATTAGTAACATTGGTAAGAAAGGTTTTTTCTACTATTTCAAAAATGTATTTACAATTTATGCTTCTTTGTACTTTTCAATAATAATCATAATTTCAATACATTTTAGAAAGAAATATTGTACTTTTTGCGTATTTAAAAGGTACATATTTATTTTGTTTGGTTTCATTTTGTTGGAAAAGAAAACTCTACAAGGCACTTTTAAGTTGGTCACCCTGGAACAAATGCATTGTGGTGACTCGTAAGGTATCTTATTCCTTGCATAGTGTAATAGGTAAACATTAAATCAGGTGAGATTAAGTAGAAAAAAGGCTTCGGGTGTCTTTAGTGGAACAGTTTTGCACAGAGATGCCCCAGATGGCCTTGCCCCAGCCCATCCCATCACTATTTCACAGCAATGACGTTGATGAGTGAAATGTCACTATAACTGACCTTTGGTAGAATGCTTCCATTTACCTATGGAGCTCATGTTTAACTATTTATAACATTTGGTGAAAGCAGATGATCAGGACTAAGCTCGTCAGTCAAGGTGTCTGTTTAAGCATAGGTATGTGTGTATGTGTTACTAACATTACCTTTTGTCCAGGTGTGCCACGTCCAGGAGATCCAGGTAGGCCCACCATTCCTGAACTGCCAGGCTCTCCCTGAACAAATGAATCAGTAAAATGTTAAATACCGGCAAACAGCAAAACCACCAGTGGAACAGGCTGAAAACTCAACATCTGATAAAGTTGTTATATGGTCACTGTGTTAGAAAACAATTACCTATTTCCATATTAAGCAGACACAGAGCTAAATTATGATTCATTTGGAGTCATGTTTCTGTCCAATATTCACTGTTCTTTTAGTTCTGATCTTAAACCTCTCTGTTTAGGGCGGCTGCAGTGCGGAGGCAGAGCGGGTCATCCCCTAATTGGAAGGTTGTTGATTCGATCCTCGGCTCCTCCCGCCACATGTCGAAGTATCCTTGAGCAAGATACCAAACCCCAAATTGCTCCCGATGCTGTGCATCGGTGTGTGAATGTGTATGAATGAGTTAGTTTGTGTTCGATGGACTTCGCCATCACTGTGTGAATGGGCAAATGTGGAGCGCCCGGTTAGCTCACCTGGTAGAGCTGGCGACCATGTACCCAGTTGATGCAGCGGCCCAGGGTTCAAATCAGACCTGCGGCCCTTTGCTGCGTGTCATCCCCTCTCTCTACCCCCCTTTCCTGTCTATTTTCAGATGTTACTATCAATAAAGGCAATAAAAGGCCAAAAAAATACATTTAAAAAAAAAGAAAGGATGAATGTAGCATGTAGTGTAAAAGCGTTTTGAGTGGTCGGAAGACTAGACAGTTACTGTGTCAGCTAACAGACCCTGACTTTAGTTTAAACCTGTAGTAGGTAATTTTATCAAAATAACGTTTGTCATATTTGCTAAACTTTCACTAATATAATAATATAATATATATTTTCACTAATTATATCCTGACAGTAGAACATGAGACTGAAAAATCCGGTTCCTCTGGCTCATTCTTGTGTTCCTAATGGCATTTTCCGACAATCCACCAGGCCTGGACAAAAACAACCAATCAGAGCCAAGAAAGTGTTGGAGGCTTGATTTTTGATTGTTGAGTCTCATTACCAGGGTCCTAAAACATCTATATCGTTGCAACGCCGTTACCATTACTGAGAATGTAAAGTGGTGCGTTATTTGCGTTACTACGCTGGTTGAATGAAGCGCAGTGGTGTCAGGCTTTCTGACAGCCACACATCAGCTGTCGGGAGAGGGCAGGGTGGTGATGATGACACCGTTGCAAATGCGATGATGATTGGCCACGTGGGCGGATGTCCTGCTCACGCTGTCTCACTGCATGCTCTAACTACTACTATAAACTCAAGACAGAGACAATGGCGACGAGCCAGGGAAATTCAAAGGTAGCGTTTTCAAACTGGAAGTACCGACACCACTTCTTGCTTACTGAAGTTAAAGGCAAGAATGTTATTATGTTATGTAATGTGTGAATTTTATTTTCAATATTTCTTTTTTATATATTTTTATTTCTATGCATATGGCCGGCTGCAATCTATTGAGTTCAAATAAATACCAAATGTTCTAAAATACTGTATATAGTGTTTTTATTCTTCCTTCAGTTAATATAAACATCTTTGATGTTATAGAAGATGTTATAGAATGTAATAGCGTTATACAACATACAAAATAAGGTCACAGTTACTTTGCTGAGTAACTAATTACTTTTATAATGTGGTAATTGACTTACTAACTCAATTACTTTTTGGGAGAAGTCATTTGTAACTATAACTGATTACTTTTTTAAAGTAAGATGCCCAACACTGGTTGTTTTCAAATGCCATTAGGAGCATTAGGAGGAACCAGAGGAACCTGATTTTTTCAGATTAGCTGCCTCTCTGTTAGCATATAGTGAGTTCTAGCATACATGACAAAAAATATTTTTTATAAAAATTACCTACTGCAACTTTAACACCTCTAGAACTGGATTTCCCACTTACAGCAGGCATATGTGAACTTCACAGTACATGCGCAAAGCCTATATTTAAGATACCTTTGCTCCAGCAGGTCCAACTGGGCCTGGAGAGCCTGAAAGTCCCCTTGGGCCACGGTCACCCCTATCTCCCTGTGGGAAAAACACATACATGTGGCACAGTACATCAGTATGTAGAAGGTATGTTGAAATGAAAAAGGTCACTGACATAACTGATGTTCAGTTAGTCAAATTTGTGCAAACACCAAGTCAATGAAACCATTGACTGTGCAGGTATGCAAATATGTACTGTCACCACACTGAATTCTGAGCAACTGTTTACTTACACTTACTTGTTTTTACAGCACTACAGAAAGCTGAAGCAATCAGGATATCCTCCAAGAGAAGGGAACTATAATACCTGGACGGCAGCTGCCACTGTTTACCTTTTCTCCAGGGATGCCTGTCCCCGGTGCTCCCTCTATGCCTCGCATGCCTGGCAACCCCATCTCCCCCTGGATTAAACAGCAGATCAAACTGTGTCTCAGCATTAAAGCTGCAGTAGGTCATTTTTATAAAAATAGATAATCTGTGAAAAAAATCTGGTTCCTCTGGCTCCTCCTAGTACCAATCAGATCCAAGAAAGATATAAAGACGCTTTGGGTTAGAAGCTTGAAGAGTTAATTGTCTCATTTCCAGGGTCCCAAAGAGTCTGTATTTGACAGACTGGAAATGAGACTCAACAATCACCGATCCTTCTTGCCTGCGATTGGTTGTTTTCTTTCAGGCCCGGTGGATTCTTGTAAATACCATTAGGAGCACTAGGAGGAGCCAGAGGAACCTGCTTTTTTCACAGATTATCTGTCTCATGTTCTACTGTCAGAACACAGTAGAAATGTCAGCAATAATGACAAAAAGTAAATTTTTATTACATCTTTAACTGCACTCAAACCAGAATTTTACGAAATGTGACCTTTGACCTCCAGTCACAGACTTACCTTAGGCCCAATAGCTCCATCCTCACCAGGAATGCCAGGTATCCCAGCAGCCCCATCAGGCCCTTGATCCCCCTGGAAGACCACACAAGAACTCAAAACTTCAAGGTCCCACTGTTCATTCAATGGGACACGCTTTATTCAAGGACAGTCTGAGTGGCTTACCTTTGGTCCGGCCTCACCAGCTCCCCTCTCCCCCTGAGGTCCAGGCTCTCCAGGGAAACCCTGGTCACCCTGGGAAGCAACACAAATCACTGACTGCCAATTACAGGACTGTATTAAGCACTGCTGGAAAGTAAGTAAGTATATTTATAAGTATTTATAAGTAAGTATAAGTATTCAAGGTACTTGTACTTTACTTGAGTATTTCCATTTCATATTTAGTATATAGTATATTTATATTTATACCTCTAGTCCATTACATCTATGTCCTAATAACAATGATAAAGTTGTAAATTGTCCGACAGCAAAAATAGGAGAGGCCCGAAAATGTGTATTTTGTGCGAGATTAAGAAAAAAAAATTAACTCCATAATTTCCTAAAGTTAACACTGAAAGTTGCCATTTTATACAACAAGTTTTATACTCTACCTGCTTCCCCTTGGCAACGTCATTCACCACCATGGTCTCAACTTTCACTGTTATGCCGACGACGTCCAGCTTTACATCTCCACCAAATCCATCACCTCCACCACTCACTCCACTCTCTCCAACTGCCTCACTAACATTAAATCCTGGATGCACACCAACTTCCTCAAACTTAAATGCGACAAAACAGACATGATTATCATCGGCCCCAAATCCATCACTAAAACCATTCACAGTTTCTCCCTCACTGTCGACACCTCCACTCTGTCCCCACCCCCTCACAGTCGCAACCTCAGAGTCATCTTTGACAATAACCGCTCCTTTGAACACCACATAAACCAAATCACCAGAACTGCCTTTTTTCACCTCAAAAACATCGCCCGACTCCGCCCATTACTCTCCTTCTCTGCTGCAGAAACCCTTATCCACACCTTCATTACCTCCAGAATCGATTACTGCAACAGCATCCTCTACGGCACACCATCCAAAACCTTAAATAAACTCCAGTACATCCAGCTGCTCGTCCAGCTGCTCGTCTGCTCACCCACACCCGCACCCGTGACCACATTACCCCTGTCCTCCAGAACCTCCGCTGGCTCCCGGTCCCACAACGTATTCAGTTCAAAATCCTCCTCCTCACACACAACTCCATAACCAGGCCCCTTCCTACCTCACTGACCTGCTCCATCGCCACAATCCATGGCGTAGCCTCCACTCATCTGATGCAAACCTCCTTACTCCACCACCCAGGACCAAGCACCGAACCTGGGGGCGACAGAGCCTTCTCTGTTGCTGCCCCCCACAAACACATCCATGACTGTACCCACTTTCCAACATTCAAATCTCTGACAAAAACTCACCTTTTTAAAAGTTAGTCTGATGTGTTTTTAGTGTTTTACTATTTGATGTTGTTTTGCTGCTTTTCTGTTTTTATGTTAGTGTCTTTGAGTATTTAGAAAAGCACTTACAAATAAAATGTATTATTATTATTAATGAGTAATTTTACCTTTGATACTTTAAGTAAATTTTTCTGGCAATACGAGTCAAATTTTAAATTAGGGCTGCACAATCAATAACAATATCTGTAAAAAATAATGTGCAGCCCTATTTTAAAGCTGCAGTAGGGAACTGCAAGAGGCTTGCAGATACCTGATTTTCTCACAGATTATCTGTCTCATGTATTATTATTAAGATATAGTGAAAGTTTCAACAAATCTGATAAAAAAATATTTTCTATAAAAATTACCTACTGCAGCTTTACTTTGGACCTTTACTAGTAAATGCTAAAATGACTCAGTAACATCAATTCCACAGCATTATCTATCTAAAGTTTGATAACTTTAGCTAACATTAGCAGTAGGTAGTGTACTGAATTGAACAGTCGTGAGTTTTAGCGCTTATGAATTCAACAAGACTATATTATTACCTCTTTCAAATCTTACATATTAATGCTCTAAAATAATGTATTACAGTGTTGTCCAGGTTTTTTTCTTGAATGTCAGATACTGTTTATAAATCATTTAATGTCTCTTTAAGGTATCACTCATTCCTAAAAATAATACAAAAGCTGCTGCTACTAACCTTTGGTCCAACTATACCCAGTCCCGGAGGTCCTCTGGGACCAGATGGCCCACCTGGCCCTTGGTCCCCCTAAAGTCAGAGAGAAGCATGACAGTTTAAAATCTAATTAAACTTATAAAAGATATATAGTATATATCCTAAAATTTTTATTGGCCTTGCCTTTTCTCCTTGGATGCCTGCCCCTGGAAACCCCACCAAACCTGGCAGCCCGGGATCTCCTGTGTTTCCCTGTGGGTCACACAAGTGGCAGGTCAGACAGGTTGTCCTTTACAGCTTCAAATGTTTTCACTTTACGTGTGTGTGTGTACAATCCCAGCCACGTCTGACAGCTAACCATACCTTATCACCTTTGTACCCGACTCCTGGAGGTCCACGGCCACCCTTGGGACCCTCATACCCCCTGTCACCCTGTAAAAAACACAGTGGGAGGGTTAGGAGAACAGGAAGGTCTAAAAGCCTTCAAATCATACAATTTGATCTGAAAGGTTCACTTTATTCTTTTTTAGATCAAACGCTACAGGGGCGGTTACATTTGAACAACTTCCACATAAATTCTAATCGGGTGAGTTTGGTTTCAGATTTTCTAAACCTTCATGTGCAATTTATAAATACAACAGAACTTTAAAATTTGTATTTTTTGTCTTTAACGCAATAATATCCCATATTCTGTAATAAATGTTCGAGATATTTATCCCTGTACATTGCAGACTGAAATGATACGCATAGTTGTAGTGAATCAGCGTGTTCTGGAACGTACCTTGGGTCCTTGGAGACCCTCACCTGGAAACCCTGGAGATCCTTGCACCCCTGTTGGCCCTGCCGGACCCTAAACACATACACAAGATAGAAAAGACAAGAAAATATTAAATACTAAATGTATATGATTGTCTTTGTCCTCTTCCTTTTTTTACTTTTATGTTGTTAATGCTCTTCGTTTATTGTCAGTTTTTCTTATTATTGATATTATTATTATTGTTGTTGTTGTTGTTATTGTTGTTATTATTATGTGGTCTTTTTATCCTGCATTTGTTAAATGACAGGGTTTACAGGATCAGTTCAACCTCAAGTCTAGCTATGCAGATAACTTAAAGGTCCAGTGTGTAGGATGGGTGTAGGTATAAAAGCCTCATTCTAAGGTAACGAAACCATAACAGTTCCTATTGTACTCTAATTGAATATACATACTGCTCACTAAAGTAAACTATTATACACAAACACTGGAGCTTAAATTTTTCATGATGAGACCAACACAATACAACGGAGATAAATAGTGTTTGTGCATCGACAACCTAAAAAGTTTAGAAAGTAGAATTTAAAAAAAATCTTATTGATGGTTCTTGAAGTGAAATATTTTAGTGCTATGAAAAAAGGTATACAGTTGCTCATAAAAATTCTGACAATTTTGGCCTTTCTTTGCTTCCAAAAATTTAAACCTATCTACCCTACAGTCAAAGTTCAGTATTTTTTGTCTGGATGTAACACAGCACTTTGTGAATTTAATATTAATATATAAGGAGTGATACATTAACTTTTTAATTGTCTGCACCGCAGTGCAGTGGATTTGAAGGGAAAATATGAACATGAGGGTAAAATGCCGTCTTGTCTCTAAAATTCAGTAACGATATTTAACACAACATCTCTTTAGCATTGATTGAAGTATCCCACTGGAATAGAGTGATGGTATTAGTAATAACATATCAGCTATAAGAGCAGTTACGGTAGTTTCAGTTGTCAACTCACCGGTGTCCCTGGTTCACCCCTACCCACTGGTCCAGGGGGCCCTGGTCTTCCTTGGTTCCCCTTGTCACCCTGAAGATAACAGATTAGAGAGAAAGTACTAAATAGGAAAATGTTTCTTATTTTATCAAATACTAAACCAAACCTAAATTTACCTTGGAACCAGGGAACCCAATGCCGTTATCTCCTGGAGGTCCAGGTGCACCCCTCAGTCCTCGACCACCCTTTTAAGGAAAGGAAAAAGATACTTACAAAGGTACCCATCCTGTAGCTTTAACCCATTAACTACTGATTTACTTGATGTATTTGAAACCTGATTTCTAGAGTTCTTACTTTAGATCCAGATGGCCCCTCTGGGCCCAGGTCTCCAGGTCCTCCCCTAGCTCCCTGAGACAAGAACAAGACAGGAAAGTGTACTCTTATAGCACTGTTTGACACTTTTTAAAAAAGGATCAAAATCAATGCAGAAGTGCTAGAGATGTTGTCTTTTTTATTCCACACATTTATTTCAATTCCACTTCCAAACCTGCCCACATTGCAACATGGCTGTTCTGCCAGTAGTGGCTAATGTAGCCTCGAGCTAGTTCAAAGTAGACTGAGCATGTTCTAATTGAACAGCTAATCCTCCACAACAGACATACTGACATGTAGAACAACTGGATCAGTGTGTGGCACTGGCTGGTGAGCTGTGACTGCCCTCTGCTGGAATTTAAGAGCAGTGTGACTGGAGTCTAGGAATGTCTGCTCCATATGAAGCTCTAACATACAAATTCTACCCTCAGTACAATGAAAAAACAACCAAGTATGCTTGTGATTCCTGTAAAATAAAACTGTCTTTCACAGGCAAGAAAGATGGGTGATTGTTGAGTCTCATTTCCAGTGTGTCAAATACAAATGCTTTGGAACCCTGGGAAGGAGACTAGACAATTAACTATCTTCAAGCTTCCAAACCAAATCTTTATATCTTTCTTGGCTCTAATTGTTGCTTTTGTCAGACCCGGTGGATACTTGCACTTGCACTTTCATGTACTACTGTCAGGACACATAATGACAAAAAGTTATTTTTATGAAATTTAACCTACTGCAGCTTCATTTTTGCCTTTTTATTTACTTTTTATTGAGGTTCTGCACATTCTTCTCAGAGCAGGAGTTTTTGGAAGATCAACTCCAAAGAGATCCTGATGCTACAACATTTGCATTAGCCACAAGGACTTGTAGGACATAGACAATTAGCCACTACTCCTTAAACTAGACCATTTCTATTATAATCCTCCTGTACTGTACTGAAGGGCTGAATTGGAGATAATAAATAGATTTCAATAAATAAATTGTAGAAAATGACCCAAAACATACAAAAACATCAGCTGGTCCTTTAAATTGCGATTATTCCATAATAATAATTCCATTATAAAAATATAAATGAGACTGTTTAAGGGCTGCTGGATACTAATACTGTGATGCTTTATGAATAAACTTTTGACCACGTGCGTAAGTACATTTCATGGGAACTGGAGACAGAACAGAAGGACGTGAAACCTAACGGCACTCTGACTGTGGCTGCTGTTGTTCTACCGATGCTGAAGGGGGCAACAAGCATTTAAGGAGAGAGGGAATGGATAACATGTGCCCAAATCTTAATCCTCTGGGACAACGTTTGCTCAAAGACTACAACCAAACATTGCAAGCTTGGATTCCCCACTTAGAAAGGCTACATTAGGAGGGGGGATAAGACCTAATCCGCAGCTCACATTCCACAAGTGCAGAGCAGGAGATGGATTCAGAGTGTGTTGCTTTCGCTGCACGCTGATTGTTTCAGCGCGGATGTAGGGGGACACAGGAATCTTTCAATTTGACCACACACCCATTCAGGTATGAAGGGTATGAAGAATTCTATTCATTTTTTAAATCAAAATATGTCTATTTAATAGGTGTACTGCATGATGGTAATATCAGGCTTTTAAATGAAACATAAACACTGAAGGTTGTTGCCAGTTGAAGGCCACAAACTAACAATAAATCACCCTGCACTCTAAAAAGTAATTCATTATCTATGACCTATTACAACTACTTAATTAAATGCATGGTTGCAGGATAACCATTCCACTCTTGATTCAGATAAACCTTTTAAGTTGCAAACATTATTTTGATGAGTTAGACTGACAAAAATAATGGGTATTTTTTATGAGTACACTGTAATGCGATACAATATTGTAACAAAAAAAACAGTTGAAACAGATTAAATTAAATATTTTAAGTAGCTAAAACTCAATTTAAGTTCAAAAAGATTCTTGATGAAGCTGCTTTTACTAGAAATTTTGAGTGACACTAACTTAGTTTTCTAAGTTATAGAAACATTTTTTTTACAAGGTTTTTGTTATCACAGTAGAAATAAAAAGTACAAAATTAAGTCAGTGTCACTTAAAATAACTGAAGCTACTTGATTAAGAATGTTCTATTGGCTTACAAAATTGAGTTTGCTTTACTTGATGTAATCAGTTTCAACAAATTTTTTAGTTGACTTGACTTAGTACTTAACTTAGTACAATATAGTCAACTAAAAAACGTGTTTTTATGCTACCAATTTTTAATTAACTGGTAATTAAAAAATAACGTTGATTGTAGAGGAAAAGTTAATTCCCCAAACTCAATGTAGAACCTTTCTCGAAACAGTCAACTCAAAAAGATTGATGCACTAATTTTTTGGGTCAGCCAAATCATTTGTTTTTAGACGGTGAAATTCAGTCTTTGAATATACATATATTTGATTATGATATGTCAACATTTTGGCAAATACACAACATTACAACAATTTATCCATCCGCCCAGTACCTCTGATATTTTCAAGTGTATTTAACATGTGTTTATAGATCCTACTCTATATGTGAATATATATATATATATATCCAGACTAAATGGTAAATGGTAAATGGACCTGTACTTGTATAGCGCCTTTCTAGTCTTCCGACCACTCAAAGCGCTTTTACACTACGTGCCACATTCACCCTTTCACACACATTCACTCAGTGATAGCAAAGTCCATCGAACAGAAACTAACATTCATACACATTCACACACCGATGCACGGCATCGGGAGCAATTTGGGGTTCAGTATCTTGCTCAAGGATACTTCGACATGTGGCACCAGGGGCTGGGGATCGAACCCACAACCTTCCGATTTTATCAAATACTAAACCAAACCTAAATTTACCTTGGAACCAGGGATTTAGGAATGACCAGCTCTGCCTTTGAGCCACAGCTGCCCTACTAAGACTAAGACTAAGCAGTATGAAGTCTGATAAATGGCCTTAAGCGATAACACTTGAGTCAGTGTCTGTTAGGTCTGAGCCTGGTGCCTAAATATCACTCCTAAAAGCAAATCCTGTCATTTCCGCTCAGCACACACATAGATCTTATCTAGACAAACAAAAAATCCAGTGGGCACCATATCCCAAACCCAACAGGAAGTCAGCCATGTTGGATTTAGCGGTCATTTCTGGCGATTTACTCACGTTGTATTTGAACGAACTCCTCCTAGGGAATTTATCTGATTGACTCCACATTTGGACACAGCCATCTAAAAACATTCTTAATTAAAAGTTGTGCTATTTACAACATCGGCGTGCCTGTGGCGTAGCGTAGAATTTCAATGATTTGCCATGAAAGGGGGATTTGTCATAACTTCTGCGTACATGATCCGATCGCAAAGAAACTTCACGATTGATAAGAGTCCCGCCCTGAACACGTTTATGTGATAATATTCAGATATAGTGAGAGCGCCACCTACTGGCAGCAGAATAGTAAGCGCTGTGTGGCAATTTTGATCTGATTTACGTGAAATTTTCTTGTTGTGGTCCACACGTGTTACGACGGCACGCGGCTGCAGCACACCCCGAGTAGTGTGGAGTGCGAGGGCCCGTTCATCACTGCTTGCAGCTTTAATTTTATATGGAATGTAAACGTCTGTATCAGTCAGTAGTAGTAGTCAATCAGTAGGTGTGACAACAAAAGTAAGGTTGTAACTTGTTATTTTGCGGGGGTAACCATAATGCTATTACTGAAATGTATTAGTAATTAGTTACACGACTAGTTACTGGGGAAACATCACCTGTTCTCCTCTTGGGCCTCTGGATCCAGGAGGTCCTTCTGTGCCCTAAAGAAAGACACCAATACAATATAATCACATACACCTGGCCACAGCTAAAAGTGACCATGGAAATGAAATCAATAAAAAATGATAAACCTACTTGTTCTCCCTTATTTCCAGGGGCACCACATTCACCTTGTTCTCCCTAGAAAATAAGACCAGTACAGATACAGGTAAGTGAAGTTTAAAGCAAACACCACAGAAATTATTTTTATACGTTCATATGTTGGAGAATTTGCTTATGTTTATATTTCCATACCTGGATGTGGCATTCATCATAAATAATAACTTAATTTAAAAAAAAAATTATATAACATATAATAATAATATATACCTTTTCACCTTTGCTGCCAGATCGACCCTATAGAGAGGGAAATTTTACATTAAACAGTCAGACTGTCCACCAACCATAATGCTACTGTAATAGAATGTCAATTAACAACATTACAACATCAAACCAACATCAAAATAGCTAATGTGATGGGACTACAGGACATTATATAGACTACTTTTACTAATTGTTTTTAAAAATTATTGACCGATATCATTTCCATAGATGGTTTTATTTGGTAAGTGATAACATGCTGAATGTTAAAAATCCTGTCAACAAATGGTTTGTACCTGACAAACTACAATCTAAAAACAAAAGTTTTGGCTCAATCTTAACATTTTGCATCAATCTTTTTGAGTTATGGCAACTTCTAATGAAATTATACTCAACAAATTGAATTAGGGGAATTAGGTTTTCCTCTACAATCAAAGGTATTTTTAATTACTCACTTAATAACTGTAGCATAAACACATGTTTTTAAGTTGATTAGGCTGTCTTAATAACATGTTTTTCCATGTTATTTATGTCAACACAACTCATCAAAATAATGTTTGTGTGTGTGTTTATAAGGTTCCAGGTTTCAACATTAAAAATGGAGCTAGTGTAGCTCTGTTCAAAGTCAGCTAACTGTCCAAAGTGAGCTAGTGAGCCAAACTAGTAAAAACAGCTGGGCGCAAGGACCTTTTACAGTCTTCACAGTGAGGCTGCCAAGGTCACATTGTGCAACATTGTTTTAATGGTAAAAGGGTCAATTTAATCTACTTGAAGCTCCCTCCATGCATCTCAAAATAGAAATAGAAATAAAACCATACACTGCACTTTACTCCTAAACCTAAACTTGTAACCCAGGCAAGAGATGGTTGAAAAAAATATCAGATGATTACCTCAAGGCCCTCCATTCCTGGACGTCCGTTAATGCCAGGTTCCCCCTACAGTGACCGAGCCCAGACAAAACAGCACATCAAACGACACTTCATGAATTCATTCTGTTACCAGCACTGGATTATGGAGACAATAGACACTTACACGAGATCCCTTCGGACCTGGAGCTCCATCAGACCCTGGCTCGCCAGGTTTCCCCTAGATCAAAGTAAAGGGAGAGATTGTGATGAATGAGAATATTTGGGCCCCTTTTTAGGTTGGATTCTGTGTATGTGTAAGCGTACATGCGTGAGGTAGGTCATTCTCAGTGTGCCTGTGTGTTGACTCTTGTTTAATCTTTCATCCATGACCTTTGCTTCTCTTTAGCAGCGTTACCATTGAAAACAGCCCTTTCAGCTAGCCCTCTCACCACCTGCTACACTTGCATTGTGGGAAACATTTGCTGCTCTTTGGATGCAGGCCAGGCGCACCTGCTGGTGGAGGCCACCAGCCTGGGTGCTGAGGCTGGGAGAATCCCCAGCTATACAGGGATAACAAGCCACTGTGTGAGGCTTACTGAGCTCTGTGAGGTTGAGGAAGAAACTGTCAACATAAAGCCAGCAGACACTTCCACAGCTGGGCAGTAAAGCTGGTGCAGAAATAGTATCACAATACCCAAATGTCTGAAGTACTTTGGTCAGAAAGAGTAGAAAAGTTGACTTTCTCTGGATGAATAGATCAGCAAGTCACCTAGCATGGCATGGGCCGAGGATGGTGAGACTCTGCTATTTTGATGTAGAGCAACTACTAGCAAGAGCTTTAATGACATTTAGTACATGGCCAATATTTCCTTAATGTAAATCAACACAATTTGACCAAACAATCCAAACTCAAGGTCCACTTGCTAGCTTTTTCAACCGCATTACACGATATGATTGATTTTGAGCATAGCCACTTGTAAAAGAGCTACTAAGCTCACGTGTTAACTGATCCATCTCCATCCAACTCCATTCACTCATGAAGACCATGTGATATACAGTTGAGAGCTCCAGAAAAAGATAGTTGGTAAACCTTGCATTTAAGATTGTTTGTCGAACTGCTGTTGCCAAGGTCAGGAAAAACTTGTATAATGATCACATTTGCAGTTTTTATAGATCAGTGTGTACATTTCCTGTATTTTCACTCACAGGAAAGTAACCACAAAATTTCAGGTAGTACATTTGGTATGAAAAACAATAGAACAAGATGTTTAATATTGATGCGCGCCAACTGTATTACCATGCAGCAACCTCTGTGGCTAGAAAAAGAAGCCAACAGAAGTAAGACAAACTGCAGTTCCTCTAACGGCCACTTGAGGTTGGCTCCAGAAGTGAGTCAATCTCCATTGGGCGCCCGGTACAGAAAACAGTTTTGGTCTCTATAGCTAATTTCCCCATTCATGACAACTGTTCGGGGAGTGAATTTTTATATAACTCATCTGTTTAAATTATATTAAACTGTGCATAATTAAGGGCGTGGCCGCTTTGAGTGACAGGTTGGTGCCGTCACAGGCAGCTGTTTTCAGTAACCAGACTTCATTCAGCCTGCTTTAGCTCCACCCACATTCCACCTCTTTGCCCATTTTTGAGTCATGAACGCCAAGATAGCGACAACTCTTCAGGAACCTATGGGTGACAGCACAGAGACTATGCACAGTTTTAATGACAAAGTATTTCAGTAATACCCATATGACTTTTCAGAGAAGTGATAAATTGTGATGTAGTTATTGGTATTTTTGAGAAATTAGTCTAACACAGATTTATAACAGTGTTTAGATGTTAGTGCAGAAAGGCTGGTTAATAAGAATATAGGATGAGAATTGTATAATACACTCACAGGGATTCCAGGGTGACCTCTCTCCCCTCTGTCACACAGACAGGTCTTTGGCTGTGGGCACTGAAATAAAGACAGAAAAAGACAAAAGTAAAAACAAAATGATCAACAGTGTGCTTTAGCTAAAAAAAAAAATAGCTAGCAGAAACAATTGTTGGCCTCAATTTTGTGTTAGTAATATTATTTTGTCTTGGTTTTGTTAAGGGAAATTTTGATAGCTTACTTAATGTAACTTTAGGTTTATTACTGTTTATTTCACCTTTAATGTGTTCTATACACCTGGAAGAACAGAAGACAGACACCAAAGGACACAGAAATAGAGATGTTCTGATAAAAATTTTTATTCGGATAAAGATTCTGATCTCAGTTGATAACAATACCGATCCAACACATGTGCAGTAAAATTTGCTGGTTTTTTTCTTCAAGGGTATGCTTACTCAGCCTCAATGATTTCTATCATTGTTGTACAGCCTGGCTCAGGTTAAATGCTTTGTCTGCTGGGAAGTAGCAGGCTAATAAATTACACAGTGCACAGACACGAGTACCACCCGATGTCAGGCTATTGGTTCACAACCTCGGTGTGAACCAATAGCTTCATGGAGGGTTACGAAGCCTTCTTGATTTTGAGCCGTGCTAGAAAACTTGCACTGGTTCACTTTTGTGAAGAAAAGTAAATGTAAAGTAAATTGTCTAATAGAACAATAGTCAAGTGTCAGGGAGAAGAAAACACAAATTTGCCAAAAAAGAAGCCTAGTTGATTGTCTGCATGATTGTTGAAAAAGATAAAAACACAAAATACAGACAGAACTTTATAAAAATAAAATAATTCCTTAAACAGTAAATAATCTGCTCAAAATGAATCCAAATCACTCGTTTTACACAAACTTGTTGCAGTTACTCAGTTCACTATCTGAGTTAATTGTACAATTTTTAATAAAATAAGAAATATCCATAAAATATGTCATTTAAGCAGGGGTCCCCTGAGGAAAAAGGTTTGGAACAACTGTTTTACACAGTATTGGAGGGATTTCGGATATTGCTATTGTTATCGGGACAATTCTACACATAAATCACATGGATGATATTAAATCTCATAGTACTTACCCCAGTTTTGACAATTGTGTTCTGAGAGAAAAAAAGAAAAAAAGACAGAGAGTTCACGATTGTTCATAAACCTGGACCAGCACAACAACACACTTTAGAGTTACTTATGCATCATATCCCCTCATTTATGTACAAAGTCGCCCTTATTGTAAACACAAACAGTTCTTTCAAAAACAGTACTCCATCAACTATGTGTCCATCCATGCTGTATATGATCTTACATTGCTGTCGTTGTTCATCTATCAGTTTTAATTTCCTATTTATCTGAGTATCTACATCCTCATTATGAATGACAGTGGATTTGTGAGTGCAACAACATCACCAGTGAAGCTTCAGACAATACTGAATACTAACTGGAGACTAAGACAAACATGACTGACCAGTTCATTGAAGAGTCTGTCATCCAGCTGGCTGTCAGTGAGGCTGAGGACGTGCTGCTGTGGGGGGGCGCTAGCAATGGATCGTAGTTTTGTACTGGTGAGACCGTCCCTGGGCAGGCCTGACAGCCTGATGGTGAACATTCTGATGTTGTGCTGTTTGGCCTCTGCAGCAGCGGTCACAGCGCTGGGGCTAAGCGGGTGGTCCGTCCCATCCGTCATTAACAGCAGCACCCTCAGGCTGCTGGACGACGTCTCACGGCTGAACAACTGGGTGGCATTGGTGATGGCGTAGGCGGAGTAGGTGCCATGGCCGATGAAGGTCATGGAGGCCACCCGGCTCTGGAAGACGTCCAGGTCCTGCCAGTCTCTGAAGTTGTGCTCCACCGACACCTTGCTGCTGTACTGCAGAGCGGCCAGGCGAAGCCGCAGACGCCAGCCAGCCGAGTGGAGCTGCATGAGCTTAGTGCTGAAGCGCAGGATGAAGTCCTTCTGTCGCTCAAACAGCAGAGGTTTTGCATTCTCTGAACTGTCCACGATGAACATGATCTCCACTGGGCAGATCAGGGCTAGACAGGAGCCAAAGCACAGCAGGCTTAGATTCTAATTCCAACTGTTTAAAGAGGTTTCAAACAGTCGGTGCAGTGGGACATTATAACTTCGATAACAAACTTCTATCAGTCTTCCTAATTCAGGAAGCTCCATTGTTCCATCAGCAAAGGTCCCTTTACCCATCCAACACTGTGGTCCAGAACAACATATCTGAACAACTAGTCACTGTTTGGTATAATTTGAGGATGAGGAGGATTTTAGTAAACCCTTTTGGGCAATAAAACTAATGAGCGAATTTCCAACAGAACCTAACAAATAAATCATCAGCCCCTAAATGTAATCCAGATATAGTATACATACAATTGGTTCATGGCAACAGCGGCGCCTTCAGATGCAGCAACCGGTAGCTCCTTCAAACTTGCTACTTTTTTGCTTTTAATCTGTTATTTTTTTCAGCTTTTTGCTGAAAACGTCATTTAATGTCTGATTGAGTTTGATTTTTAAGAGCTAAGCCAAAATTCCATCCAGCGGGTGCTTATTATTTGTTATTATTCTATGTGTGTTGCATGACCCTTGTGGTATATAATGACAAAAAGATTTACTTGATCCTAAATTCTTCAACTCTGCTGTCACTAGTGTTACAGTATATGCAAACACATACTCCTTAAAATCCACTATAAATATCAATTTTTCTATTCACCTTTCCCGGGCCCAAATTGTCATGAGACTCAACAATCACCCATCTTTCTTGCCTCTGATTGTTTATTTTTGTTAAGGCCCTGTGGAAGAACTTGCACCCAGGCTTCTGAAGCATAACAGTGCTTAACACTTAAGACACACTCATTTACAACAAGGTACAAGGCTTTGAGTTCAGATTATGTAAGACATAATTAAGTTGCAACAATCACATTTGGACTTTTTTCAGCACTCTATCCTTAGACAAACACTTACTTTTGGCCTCATTAATGATGACCTGGTTATCATCTCTCTGTCCTTTCCTCCTTCTCTTCTGGCATGTGGTTTGGCCTGAGAGGGCCAGGGTAAGGATCAAAATCTTTAGGAGCCACCACACGGTCATTGTTCAGTCCAACTGCTCAGCCTGGGTGTAAGGAAATGCATGATTAGAACAGCATTGGTGGTAAATGGTGCTTCTGTGAAACAATAATGGACATCACCATTTGACATGTCATTTGACATGAGCCATGCATCACATCCAAGAGCAGCAAATGCTGCAATGATTTCACATGGACACAAGGGGGAGACAAGACTGCAACGACTGCTCACAGATGACACAGTGGAATTCCAATGTTATGATGATAGGCAGGCTTACAGGTCACACAACTCAGATATCTGCCCCTCGTTATAGCTCTAATGCTGTTTGTCATTACCATTACCTCTATTTGCTTTTACCAACTTTAACTACTGCTAATACTAGTGTTGGTAAAATGAATGTTTCTGATGCATCTACTGCTGCAGCTACAACAAATACTGCTATTACTGCTGCATTTAATACTACCACTACTACTACTGCTGCTGACATGATCACAACAACCTCCCACTGCTGCTTCTAGTGATAGTAATACTGCTGCTGCTAGTTCATTTATATTTATAACCCTTTAAAGCTACAGTAGGTAACTTTTATAAAAACTTTTTGTCATATATGCTGAAACTTTAGTTAAACTTAGTGCTACTATGGCATTTGCAAGAATCCACTGGGACACAATAAAAAACAACAAATCACAGCCAAGAAAGATAGACTGAAATTGTTGATTCTCATTCCTCATTCCTCACCCAAATACAGACGTCATGGGACCCTGGAAATGAGATTCAACAATCTGCTATTTTCAAGCTTCCAAACTAAAGCGTCTTTATGTCTTTCTCAGCTCTGATTGGTTATTTTGGTTCAGGCCCTGTGGAGTCTTGTAAATGTCATTAGGAGCACTAGCAAGACCCAGAGGAAGCTGATTAGTGAAGATTGATGAAGAAGTCAGTCTCCTGTACTACTGTCAGGATATAGTCAAAGTTTAAGCAAATATGCAAAATAATATTTTTACTACTACTGCAGCTTTAATGATTTTGGTTGTTAGGTCATTCAATAAGTCGGACTTTACGGCAGCATTGGATTTGATAGGATTTTTGCATCAATGTCATCAGACCCAATGGTGACCACATTTGAAGTGCCCCCCTCCTCCCACTTTATGTATAAATATGTAAATGTCAGGATTTCCCTATAGGTTTCTGGAGGGGTTAGGTGCTGTGGTTATGATGGGGGATTGAGAGGTTTGGGGTTCCTCCACCAAGAATTGTGATGTTATTTGACAAAAAACTAAAGTAAAAAAAAAATGCATTTTCACATAATGTTAGAATATGATCGGAAAAATATTTTTATTTTTTTAAAGCTACACAGGTTGCAGTTTTTTTACATTACACTCAGACATTAGCAAGAAAAATGTATTTCCAGAGCAGCAACAATAATGTTTACAACATCAAAGTCACTATATAAACTTAATGATATCTCATTGGAAACCAATCTAAAATGTCAGTAAAATAAATAATATTCCTGACATTATAGACATCAGTCAGTATCAGTCCTTCCTCCTGTCATCTCAGATTCAAACTTAAATAAACCGTTATACAGACAACTTAGTGCACAAAGGGTGTCAGTGAAGTACTTTGATTTGTTAGGAATGTAATTTGATGTATTAGCCAGAAACCAAAATTATTTTGTGGTCACTCTTATCCAGACACAGACAATATCTTACTAGATTTTATGCCATAATATTTTTTCTTATCACCCACCACTATTATCACTACTTTTACTACAAGTGATAATACTTTTACTATATCACCTTCTTATTTTCTACTGCTACCAATGCTAATATTAGTGATATTATTATTACTCCGCTGCTCCCACTGAAATACTCCTGCTTTAATGCTTCCATGAATGGTATGTCAAATACTACTACTAATAATAATAATTTTAAGTAATAAATCTGAGTTCTCTTTATTCAAATGTTAATTTAAAAATGTAAAGACAGTCTGTGTCCACATTAATGTTAATAGCAGTTTGTTATATACCATGAGACACCTACCTGTGTATTAACAAAATAAGAGCTCCAGGTTAATCCATCAGAGAGCTGAACAGGCGTGCAGTGCTGTGAGTCTATGCAGGGAGAGCTACAACTCTTCAGTCAAACCTGCAGCAGCTCTGGTGGCCACACCGGTGAAAAGTCACCCACATTATAACAACTAAAACTTCCTCTTGCTCCCTTCACAATAAAACTTTACTTGAGAATCAAAGGAACTTCATTATTCTTATACTAACAGAAGTTGTCTTTCATATTTAATGTCATTATTTCATTATGTAATTTGGAGTGAATGCTAATTGTGATTCTGCTTGGCACCAAGACATTACTTACTGAAAAGAAAACGGACTGAAAGATTTGCTTTTATTTTGAAGGCAAATTGCAGCTGCAGCCAATTAACTGATTTGCCAGAATCTGCTTTTCATGGTCATATGTGACTAAGAACTGATTTTTTTAATGACACTGTGAACAGCACAAATCTTGGGAAATCTGATCTTTTCAATTCAGATTTTTTTCAAAAACACACCCTTTATGAACAAGCTGTCTGCTGCGGCTGGAAACAAGGTCGATGTGAGCCGAGAGAGTGATTCCAAACAGTAAGGATGCAGGCTAAACCAAATTCGAAGGGGGTAATTCTCTGTGAGTTTGTAACGTTTTACAATATACGCAATCATTTCATCTATTGTTGATATAGAAATATTGACTAGATCAGCTTTAAGTATTTTACTTCATTTCTTTCCACCAATTTCAACAAAACATTATTTCACCCATGCTGCACTAATTGTAATTTGAGAAACTCTCCCATTACAGCAAAATGCTCCTCACCTACAGACTGTTAAACTGAGAATGCTGGTGCTGAACCATATAAAGCTCACTGCAACTGGGAAGAAAAACTCAGGCAACACGTGAGTCTGCCACTGAGTCTAATACAAAACAAGTGTATACTAAAAATGACTTATAGAGTGAGGAAGACAGAACATGGAGGTAGAAATAGGCCAGCGTCTGGGGTTGGACTGAAATATGGTTTGTTCAGGGTGGGGGAGAGAAAAAGGAACAAAAAGGATGTTTTAGACCTAATCTTTATGGAGTCGTACGCTGAGTGGCAACCTGAGAATGTTGAGAGAAACTGTACATGTCAGTGTGAGAAACTTCTATTAGCTGCTCCCATAATTCATACAGACAGGCTCAGATAAGGCCTCATGCCCAGTTCCTTACATAAATCACTGATATGTCTGACACATGCCGCTGCTCTCTCTGCAAAAAGTTACCAAACATTCAAAAAATATCACCGGGGACCTTAAAGAAAACATTCCTTCAAAGACTTACACATCCAACTATCTGCATGATAAATGGTCAATATCTATTAGAATAATAAAAAAAAAAGATTGGTGTGTGTCCCTCAATAATTGGTTCATTGTGACCTTAAGGAGGTAGGTAACTTCTATAAAAGTAACTTTGTGTCATTATCGCTGAACCTTTCACTATATTCTGACAGTAAATGGTAAATGGACCTGTACTTGTATAGCGCCTTTCTAGTCTTCCAACCACTCAAAGCACTTTTACACTACGTGCCACATTCACCCTTTCACACATACATTCACACAGCGATGGCAAAGCCCATCAAACAGAAACTAACTCATTCGTACACATTCACACACTGATGCACAGTTCAGTTCACTCTACCTCTGAGCCACAGCCGCCCCTGTTGTACATGAGACAGATAATCTGTGAAAAAATCAGGTTCCTCTGGCTCTTCCTAATGCTCCTGATGGTATTTACAAGAATCCACCGGGCCTCAATGAAAACAACCAATCAGAAGCAAGAAAGATATAAACACATAGATTCAACGATCAACTGTCTTTCTTGGCTCTGATTGGTTGTTTTTGTTCGGGCCCAGTGGATTCTTACAAATGCCATTAGGAGCACTAGGAGGAGCCAGAGATTACCTGACTCATGTACTAGTGTCAGGATATAGTGAACATTTAAGTAAAATATTTTTATAAAAGTTACATACTGCAGCTTTAAGATTATTTCTTTGACAAATGTGATTTTGGCAGATTTCCTTCTCACTTCTTAACACAACCAATCTTTACTGTATGGTGAAACAGCTTAGTCAGGGTTAGGACTAGAACCATAGAGGATATTGTGTGTTTTCTATGTAACATAGGGACAAATTCCAAATAAAGAATAATCCTGTCATTGCTTCTTTCACTTATTTCCAAGCTTGTTAAATGTGTACTTAACTACAGGATTATGCACATGGAGAGGCAGTGGCAGGGTGTGTGAGGAGAAACCCAGTCTGGGTGCATGATGCTGCTGGCTGTGTGGGAAGAGACTGGTGGTAATGCTGGCTGTGGCACGCTGTCTGCAGACATCTAAAACAACACAGCCAGGCGGCGACAGCACCAATACCAGTCTGGCAATTTAGAGGGCGCTTCCTGCCACAGTTCAACATATTTTGATAAGGCCAACAGGCTTTTTAGAGCACACGGCTGCACACCCAGACACTTTCTGGACACAAGAACGGCCCTGTGGAACGCTGCTGATGGGGGGGAAGGAAGTCTGCCCAAGCCTCATAGCGCCTGCATGTGCACGAGTAATTCAATTCAATTCAATTAATTTCAATTCAATTCAATTTTATTTGTATAGCGCCAATTCATAACAGAAGTTATCTCAGGACACTTTTCAAATAGAGCAGGTCTAGACCGAACTCTTTAAAACATTATTTACAGAGACCCAACAGTACCACCATGAGCAAGACCTTGGAGACAAGGGCAAGGAAAAACTGCCTGTTAAAAGGCAGAAACCTAGGACAGATCCTCCGGCTCTAGGTGGGTGGTCGTCTGTCTCGACCAGTTGGGGTGAAAGAGAGAGAGAGAGACAGAGAGAGAGACAGACAGACTGAGAGACAGACAGACAGACAGACAGACAGAGACAGAGTGACAGACAGACAGACAGACAGACAGACAGACAGACAGACAGAGGTGCACAGCAACAACAGTATTGGTAATGGCAATCTAGCAGGACCATGGCAGGAGGCTCCACCAGGATCGATAAGAACCTGGGAGATGAGAAAGCACAAGAACTCCAGGGAAGAAGTGAAGTTAGTAACATGTATTAATGGGACATGAATGAGTGCAGAAAGAGAAAGGAAGAGAGGAGCTCAGTGCACCATGGGAAATCCCCCGATAGTCTAGGCCTATAGCATCATAACTAAGGGATGGTTCAGGACTCACCTGATCCAGCCCTAACTATAGGTTGTATGTAATCCAAAAACACTAAATTAATAAAGGAATAAATTTAACTGCATTAAAATGCATTCTTTCCCTTCAGAAAAGTGCTTTTTAAATTGCATTTTATATTCTGATTCATGCCATTAGATGAGTGTGAGAAACTGTAAAGCAACTTTAATGGGACAGCTCACCCCAAATCAAAAATACAGATTTTCCCTTTTACTTTTGTCACCTGGCACCCCTGGGTCAGATAATGTTAGCTGCTTGAGCTAACTAGCTAATGGCTGTTAAACTGTGTAAATCACTTTGATACCGCTGTATCCAAATAAAGCCTGATTACTGAAAACACCCGCCTGTGACAGCACCCACCTGTCACTCAAAAAAAAAGTCCTCAAAAATGCATAACTTTAGGCCTGAATATAATTTAAACAGGTGAGTTGTATAAAAATCCCTCCCATACAGTTGTCATAAATGGGGAATTATCTATAAAGACCAAAACGTTTTCTGTACCAGGCTGTAAACATGTGTATTTCTGCTGTAAAGTTGGGCATTTTAATATGGGGCCTTATGGAGATTGACTCATTGCTGGAGCCAGCCTCAAGTGGCCATTAGAGGAACTACAGTTATCAGTGAGGTCCGGCCCCCAGAAACACTCAATGAATCTTTGCTGTGTCGCTAAAAGTTTTTTTTGGTTGAAATTGATTGGTTCGCACTTAAGCACACGTCACATTTTGTTTTTCAGAAAGAAAAAATGATTGGATTTTGATATAGAAATACAAAGAAGTTGAGTGTTTGTACATTCTTTGGCATACATTGTTAAATATGGGTACAATATGACTGGGGATGTAATCTGAGAGGGTTATATTTAAATTCTATTTGAACTTTAAAGTTGAGTGTAAATACCTTTTGTTCTGACAAAAAATGCTGAGCTGAATGGGATTCCACTTTTGCAGCAATGCATCATCCGGCAACACACTGTGTCTGCCAATCAAACATTCCTGATACTTACTTTGTAACACAGACGGCAGACATCCAAATATTGTCATGACTGAAAATAAAATTATGGCAGTGGCGAATGTCTCTCGGTTCAGTGGGTGTAGTTCTTTGAGCAACTGTGTTTGAATTCAAACAGACTTTGGCTAAGCTGTTATTCTTTTTTTTAAAAAAAGGAGCATTGTTTAAATGTAACTTCAAAGTGCCACATACCACTATATATCTACAGCAGTACCAGGCTGCAGAGACAGTTTTAGAGCCTGTGAATGCTTACATGAGGTGCTTGCAGGTATGGAGTCTTCTTGAACTTGCCATGCTTGGATCTTTGTTAGAGGTCCCTGTGGCACTTCAGACTCTGGCAGGCCTGACAGCTTCATGCAGTCGGTCTAAAAACGCAGCTCAGGGGCCCTGATGGGCATGTGATAGATATGCAGAGGTTGTTTTCGACAGGTTCATGTTCACATTGCATCATGAGGACCTGCTGCGTTCATGGACAACTTCAGAATAAATACAAAAAACAATGTCCACCTTGGTATGTAGAATATGAACTACTAACCTCTGGAGGTATGGTAATGGGTTAAACACAGGTAGTTTTACAAGATCCACAGCCCGGTCTAGCAGTTATTGTGGTCATATCAGGGTTAACTAGCAGAACATAAACAGCCAGCTCTCCAAAGAAAGAAAGAAAAAGTCTTGAACCTTAAGAAGGGAATTTATATTATTATGACTTATACTGTGTGACAGAGGCAAACAGGAAAAGGCCTACACTGATAAATGAGTGTGATGATACAAATAATTTCATTTTAAGTAAATAAGATTATGTCCAGTCAGTGTGGACCCACCAACAGGATCAAGATGATAATTTTATT